CTTGGGTCTGTGGCCAGAGCTGGAGCTTGGGTCTGTGGCCAGAGCTGGAGCTTGGGTCTGTGGCCAGAGCTGGAGCTTGGGTCTATGGCCGGCCATTCTTCCTCAATAATACATTGTATATTGTGGTATAGTTTCCCTTAAGGCTGAATACTGATGCCCTCAGAGTGGTAGGGACTCGCGATATTGATGCGTTGTCCCGTTTTTTGTTGTTGTTCATGGGTTATAGGGTAGATTAGGTTTAGGCAATTTAGTACATCAGTTTAGTGACGTTGGGAACGCTCACGGGAACGGGTTGGTGAGGGTGGGGCGCTGCTTGGACGTGCCTAGTCTGAGGATAGGGTGGAGGACGGACTGCTCTCTTCACAACAAATTACATTCAAGCTTTTCTCAAACAGTGCTCCGCTCACTTCCCAGGTTCGAAGCCCACCTCTCTAAAGGCATGACTCATATACAAATTAGAAATAATTCCTAGCATAACCCAACACCTAACCTAACTAAGGCCTGCCCATAAGCGAGAGAAAACTCCGTTTCATTAAACATATTTTTGGTATCTGAAGTACGTCGGTGAAGCATTTACAGCGCTCAGGTTCGAACAGAGGTCATCAGCGAAGCTCCGTTCGATAAATTATCGAACATCAGTTGAGTTGTACGTAAACCATTTTTCATTCATAAAGAGTCCGGTTTGACGGCTGGATTATCGACCATTTGGTCGTTATTGACGGGCTTGGGCTGTTCTTTGATGAGAATGGCCTGCAGAAAAAAAAAGAGATGTGTGAAATGAACGGATGATTCGAATGCTCGCTAATGGTGGCTTCCCTCCCCAATCCCCCTCCCCCAGGTGCCCCCCCAACCCCCCCCCCCCTGGTTCCCGTGAAAGGAGTTAAAACACCGTGACTGAGTAACGTGCTCGACCCGTTCACAAAACAATAGTCAAAACCCATTCCAGGCCGGAGGTCTTTACCCCGGTGAGTGAATGACGCTCTCCACACACGACTCCCGGCTGGTTACACCTCAAGCCATGGTGCTACCTCTTAACCTACTCCCTGCGTTCACAGCGCACTCCCTGCGTTCACAACGCACTGCCTGCGTTCACAGCGCACTGCCTGCGTTCACAGCGCACTCCTTGCGTTCACAGCGCACTCCCTGCGTTCACAGCGCACTGCCTGCGTTCACAGCGCACTCCCTGTGTTCACAGCGCACTCCCTGCGTTCACAGCGCACTGCCTGCGTTCACAGCGCACTCCCTGCGTTCACAGCGCACTCCCTGCGTTCACAGCGCACTGCCTGCGTTCATAGCGCACTCCCTGCGTTCACAGCGCACTCCCTGCGTTCACAGCGCACTCCCTTCGTTCACAGCGCACTGCCTGCGTTCACAGCGCACTCCCTGTGTTCACAGCGCACTCCCTGCGTTCACAGCGCACTCCCTGCGTTCACAGCGCACTTCCTGCGTTCACAGCGCACTCCCTGCGTTCACAGCGCACTCCCTGCGTTCACAGCGCACTCCCTGCGTTCACAGCGCACTCCCTGCGTTCACAGCGCACTCCCTTCGTTCACAGCGCACTCCCTTCGTTCACAGCGCACTGCCTGCGTTCACAGCGCACTGCCTGCGTTCACAGCGCACTCCCTGCGTTCACAGGGCACTGCCTGCGTTCACAGCGCACTCCCTGCGTTCACAGCGCACTTCTTGCGTTCACAGCGCACTGCCTGCGTTCACAGCGCACTGCCTGCGTTCACAGCGCACTCCCTGCGTTCACAGCGCACTGCCTGCGTTCACAGCGCACTCCCTGCGTTCACAGCGTCCTTCCTGCGTTCACAGCGCACTCCCTGCGTTCACAGCGCACTCCCTTCGTTCACAGCGCACTCCCTTCGTTCACAGCGCACTGCCTGCGTTCACAGCGCACTGCCTGCGTTCACAGCGCACTCCCTGCGTTCACAGGGCACTGCCTGCGTTCACAGCGCACTCCCTGCGTTCACAGCGCACTTCTTGCGTTCACAGCGCACTGCCTGCGTTCACAGCGCACTCCCTGTGTTCACAGCGCACTGCCTGCGTTCACAGCGCACTGCCTGCGTTCACAGCGCACTGCCTGCGTTCACAGCGCACTGCCTGCGTTCACAGTGCACTGCCTGCGTTCACAGCGCACTCCCTGCGTTCACAGCGCACTCCCTGCGTTCACAGCGCACTTCCTGCGTTCACAGCGCACTCCCTGCGTTCACAGCGCACTCCCTGCGTTCACAGCGCCCTTCCTGCGTTCACAGCGCACTCCCTGCGTTCACAGCGCACTCCCTTCGTTCACAGCGCACTCCCTTCGTTCACAGCGCACTGCCTGCATTCACAGCGCACTGCCTGCGTTCACAGCGCACTCCCTGCGTTCACAGGGCACTGCCTGCGTTCACAGCGCACTGCCTGCGTTCACAGCGCACTTCTTGCGTTCACAGCGCACTGCCTGCGTTCACAGCGCACTTCTTGCGTTCACAGCGCACTTCTTGCGTTCACAGCGCACTGCCTGCGTTCACAGCGCACTTCTTGCGTTCACAGCGCACTGCCTGCGTTCACAGCGCACTGCCTGCGTTCACAGCGCACTTCTTGCGTTCACAGCGCACTGCCTGCGTTCACAGCGCACTGCCTGCGTTCACAGCGCACTGCCTGCGTTCACAGCGCACTGCCTGCGTTCACAGTGCACTGCCTGCGTTCACAGCGCACTCCCTGCGTTCACAGCGCACTGCCTACGTTCACAGCGCACTCCCTGCGTTCACTGTACAATTGCTGCGTTCACAGCATACGTTTCAAAAGCCCTTCACCGTTGTACCTTAAATATAAAATGATTATTACGGGAACAAAACACCTAACCCAACCAAGGGCTGTGTACGAAATGGTTCTATAGAATCATTGTAATTGAGAAAATCACAGTTTAAGTGAAGGGGACAATAAGCATTATCAAATACGCCTAAACTGGCCTTCTGGGACGGCTGGCATATTATTGAGGCGGACTGAAGGATGACGTCATTACAAAGATTGCTTACAAATAGATTCAAAGACTGAGAACGCATCACTAAAAAGGGTCTATGTCTCAATACACAATTAGGTTCTGGGGCCAGATTCACGAAAGCACTTACGAGCCTGTACATCTTTTCTCAATCTTTGGCGGCTTTGTTTCCAATTATTAAACAGTTAATGAGCTCCGAAGCACCAGGAGGCTGTTTATAACAATAACAACAGTTGATTGGCAAGTTTGTATGCTTGTAAACTGTTTAATAAATGTAACCAAAGCCGTCAAAGATTGAGGAAAGATGTACACGTTCGTAAGTGTTTGCGTAAGTGCTTTCGTGAATCTGGCCCCTGGGGTTTAAAACGATACTAAATATATTTTGGGGTTCAATAGGTTACAGTATGTAGATGAGAACACTGTCGGTTAGCAACTGAAATGTCAAATGTATATCTTTCGTATTGTATCTTGGATATAGATATAATTTTATATAACAAGATCAGTTCACCACCGTTTTCTGAGATAAGTCACTGCTGCATCTTGCTAAGTCACTGTTGTGTTGTAAAGTTTGGTCCTGGGATCATGTGTGACCAGATTTTGGAGACCAGTTGTGATAAAGTTTACAACATAAAATATAGTATTGTAATATATAATATTATTTTTTATTTGAGAAAAAACTATTTTAATACACAATTCGTTAAAATTGATAAATGTGTCTTGGGGGTCGGCCGCCTCTTTAACGAGGCTAGCCCTAGGAGGGGATAGGAACAAGACAGCAGCTTGTAGGACAGAAACTAGACTCACTACTTTATGCTAAGACGTAGTGAGCTTACAGGATTTCACCCTGTAAGCTTAGTTGAACTGGTTCAGATTTTTGGGTTATCTTGAGGTTATCTTGAGATGATTTCGGGGATTTTTAGTGTCCCCGCGGCCCGGTCCTCGACCAGGCCTCCACCCCCAGGAAGCAGCCCGTGACAGCTGACTAACACCCAGGTACCTATTTACTGCTAGGTAACAGGGGCATAGGGTGAAAGAAACTCTGCCCATTGTTTCTCGCCGGCGCCTGGGATCGAACCCAGGACCACAGGATCACAAGTCCAGCGTGCTGTCCGCTCGGCCGACCGGCTCCCAACCGGTACATTTGTAATGTGAGGTGTTCTGTAGGGGTGAGAGCGTGAGCAACTGCCTCTCCTCCTGCTGTGTCCTCAACACTTGCAAGAGTGATGCAGCTAACTTTTGGATCATTCTACTTGAAGGGTTTAGTAGGTGGAAATATTTTTGTCTTTGTAATACTGTATTATAATTATTTTTTAAGAATTATTGCGTGAACCTCTACTGGTTCCTCACCACTGGCCGGGTCTGTGGGGACTCATCACTGTACCAATCGTGACACTAGTATCACCACTCCTCCAACACCCTTGTTAAATGAAACGAATCTTTCAGAAATTGCTTTAATTACAATTATATTTTACAAAGGTTCTCCACACAGACCAGTCACTCCCACAGACACAAACACACCACATACAAAAATACATATTTAAAAAGAAAATCAAATACAATATATATAATTTCAAAACGTTTGTCACTCATTACAGATAATTGACCATTTGTCCTCAGACTAAGACAGACACGGCGCGGACCACACAGAGTTTGTTATACAATTGACGATAAATGCTGAATGCTGAAAACTATGAAAAAAATAATTAGTACCATATAGACATCATAGATAATTCCTGGAAGCAGGAAGTGAGTACTCCAGATAGAGCCAGAATTTTGAAGTTGGAAAAGTTATATGAATTGAGCCAAAATATTCAACTTTTAATATATATATATATATATAAAATATATAGTGACAAAGTTATTTTTAGCAAAGTGGCATGGAATATTTATATCTGATCTGTGTGAATAATAGTGAAAAACTATTTTCACACAAGAAAATAAAATGGACTGAATAAAAAATACAAGTTTAAACGCTTACAAAGCGAATTAGTGTCATTTAGCGAGGGAGTGCTGGGATTTACACGTTAGTAAGGGAGGGCTGGGATTTACACTTAGCGAGAGATGGTTGGGATTTGCACATAGCGAGGGAGGGCTGGGATTTACACATAGCCAGAGAGGGCTGGGATTTACACGTAGCGAGGTAGGGCTGGGATTTACACATAGCGAGGTAGGGCTGGGGTTTACACTTAGCGAGGGAGAGCTGGGGTTTACACTTAGCGAGGGAGGACTGGGGTTTACACTTAGCGAGGTAGGGCTGGGGTTTACACATAGCGAAGTAGGGCTGGGGTTTACACTTAGCGAGGGAGGACTGGGATTTACACATAGCGAGGGAGGACTGGGATTTACACTTAGCGAGGGAGGACTGGGATTTACACTTAGCGAGGGAGGACTGGGATTTACACTTAGCGAGGGAGGACTGGGGTTTACACTTAGCGAGGGAGGGCTGGGGTTTACACTTAGCGAGGGAGGGCTGGGGTTTACACTTAGCGAGGGAGGGCTGGGGTTTACACTTAGCGAGGGAGGGCTGGGGTTTACACTTAGCGAGGGAGGGCTGGGGTTTACACTTAGCGAGGGAGGACTGGGATTTACACTTAGCGAGGGAGGGCTGGGGTTTACACTTAGCGAGGGAGGGCTGGGGTTTACACTTAGCGAGGGAGGGCTGGGGTTTACACTTAGCGAGGGAGAGCTGGGGTTTACACTTAGCGAGGTAGGGCTGGGGTTTACACTTAGCGAGGGAGGGCTGGGATTTACACTTAGCGAGGGAGTGCTGGGATTTACACGTAGTAAGGGAGGGCTGGGATTTACACTTAGCGAGGTAGGGCTGGGATTTACACTTAGCGAGGGAGGACTGGGATTTACACATAGCGAGGTAGGGCTGGGGTTTACACATAGCGAGGTAGGGCTGGGGTTTACACTTAGCGAGGGAGGGCTGGGGTTTACACTTAGCGAGGGAGGGCTGGGGTTTACACATAGCGAGGTAGGGCTGGGGTTTACACTTAGCGAGGGAGGACTGGGATTTACACTTAGCGAGGGAGGACTGGGATTTACACTTAGCGAGGGAGAGCTGGGATTTACAAGAAGACTCACCCAAGACTCGATCGAAACTCGCCTAAAAGCCACCTGAGGCTCACCTGAAATTAAGTGCACTTAAGTTTCCTAATTGTAACCTAAAGCTCGCTTCAATGACATCAAAGACAACCCCAACGATCCCCTCGGGCTGGGCACAGATGCCCTCGTGCCCGGCTAGCTGTACACACACACCTGTAATCACCCAAGTACTCGGCTATTATTTATTTTTAGGCTCGTTGTTTCCAGCTTAGGCTAGACATGAGGGTTGTTTGGGTGAAGCTGCATTATAAAAGACCTGCACTTTCATTTACTCTTACGAAACATTTACATCTTTCAACAATCATTGTGGCATTGGTTAGAATTATTAAATAGTTTATGATCTCTGAAAGATAATGTTTCAGAGCTCCAAGTCATTATAACAATAATGACTTGGGGTTGTGATGTTTAGCTCATATAATGTTTAATATATGTACAAGAAGCTGTCATGATTATGGAGAGATGTACAGGTTTCGTATAGGGTGGCATATATGCATGGTGAGTCCTGCTCTCTTAGTTCAAATTACCTACGGTACACCCAAGACTCACCTACGGTACACCCAAGACTCACCTACGGTACAACCAAGACTCACCTACGGTACACCCGAGACTCACCTACGGTACACCCGAGACTCACCTAAGGTACACCCGAGACTCACCTACGGTACACCCGAGACTCACCTACGGTACACCCGAGACTCACCTAAGGTACACCCGAGACTCACCTAAGGTACACCCGAGACTCACCTACGGTACACCCAAGACTCACCTACGGTACACCCAAGACTCACCTACGGTACACCCAAGACTCACCTACGGTACACCCAAGACACACCTACGGTACACCCAAGACTCACCTACGGTACACCCAAGACTCACCTACGGTACACCCAAGACACACCTACGGTACACCCGAGACACACCTACGGTACACCCAAGACTCACCTAAGGTACACCCTCACCTAAGGTACACCCAAGACTCACCTAAGGTACACCCAAGACTCACTTTAGGTACACCGAAGACTCACCTAAGGTACACCCGAGACTCACCTAAGGTACACCCGAGACTCACCTAAGGTACACCCAAGACTCACCTAAGGTACACCCAAGACTCACCTAAGGTACACCCAAGACTCACTTTAGGTACACCCAAGACTCACCTAAGGTACACCCGAGACTCACCTAAGGTACACCCAAGACTCACCTAAGGTACACCCAAGACTCACCTAAGGTACACCCAAGACTCACTTTAGGTACACCCAAGACTCACCTAAGGTACACCCGAGACTCACCTAAGGTACACCCGAGACTCACCTAAGGTACACCCGAGACTCACCTAAGATACACCCAAGACTCACCTAAGGTACACCCGAGACTCACCTAAGGTACACCCGAGACTCACCTACGGTACACCCTCACCTATGGCACACCCAAGACTCACCTAAGGTACACCCGAGACTCACCTACGGTACACCCGAGACTCACCTAAGGTACACCCGAGACTCACCTAAGGTACACCCAAGACTCACCTAAGGTACACCCAAGACTCACCTACGGTACACCCAAGACTCACCTAAGGTACACCCAAGACTCACGGTACACCCAAGACTCACCTAAGGTACACCCGAGACTCACCTACAGTACACCCTCACCTACGGTACACCCAAGACTCACCTAGAGCACATTTAGGTAGCGTAGCGAGCGTCCAGTTGCCCTCGTCACACAGGGTGTTGAGGATGTAGGTGTCGTTGTAGAAAGTGTAGGCGCAGGTGTAGGTGATGACGGTGCCGTACACCTGCACCCCGGTGTTGTTGCTGGTGACGGCGTCGCCCGCGGCGGGTGGGGCGGCCACGCACGCTGTCCCACGGCGAGTAGACAAGGGGTAGACAGGGGTAGACGGGGAGTAGAGTTAGAGGTGCGCTGTTACCTTACCTCGCTGCTCTAGTTGTGTCTAAAGTGACAACTGTCATCCTTAGGACAGATACTGCCACGCCTGTCACTGCTACACCTGTCACTGCCACGCCTGTCACTGCCACGCCTGTCACTACCACGCCTGTCACTACCACACCTGTCACTACCACACCTGTCACTACCACACCTGTCACTGCCACACCTGTCACTACCACACCTGTCACTACCATACCTGTCGCTAAAGAAAACAGATTTGAAATTAAATTCCTATGGATACCATCACATGTTGGCATCTCAAGGCATGACACTGTTGATATGCTTGCTAAGTCAGCCTGCAGAAAACCAGTGGTAGAAATTGATATGGGTGTTTCATTAGCAGTGACAAAGAGAATACTTAAACAAATATCTAATGAAGATCTCACCGACCTAACAAATTCACAAAGACCTGAAAGTTGTAGCATTAAATATTATGATAGATATCGTGAGGAGACATTCGCATATGGGACTAATAGAACAAGAACCCGGCAATGTGATGTTATAGTGGCCAGAATACGCCTGGGATATAGACGTATCTGGCAGCTTTCTCAAACCCCAAATGTCGAGTACACAATGTGTCAACTTTGTGAAAGAGAAAACATGCACTCTCTTGAACATTATATTGTAGAATGTCCCATACTGACTGACTTTCGCCCTCCTGGGCTAAGGTATGCTGAACTCTGTAACTACTATATGAGTACTGGAACACTTGATGATATATTGGACTTGTACCCAAGATTAACCATGTAATGTATCAACTATACAATGTATGTGTATGATGTAACTATATAACCTGAGCTTGTAAAAGCACCTTCATCACCTTCAGTGATTAAGTGCTTAATTGCACACTAGTTTCTCTATCAGCTATCTCACCCTGTCAGAGTAAAAGAGACAAATGTATGTGAATGAATGTGTCTGTGTATATATGTATGTATACATGTATATATATATGTGTACATATATATGTGTGTGTGTGTATGTATATGTATGTGTATAAAGTACATATGGAAGCTGATCAGAATTACATTTCACCTTTGTAAATGCACATTAATGACACTATGTAAAAGACACATCGAACACTTTATGTAGGGCATACGTAAATCTGTGTATCTATGTATTTACGTATGTAGGTTAGCTTAGCACTTTAAAAGCACCGAATCACCTTCTGTGGTTGATTGTTCAATAAACGCCTGAACTATATGTTTAACACATCTCTAACCCTGTCCATGGAGGACAGAAGAAAATGTATATATGCTGATTAGCATTGTAAATGTGTGGCCACGTCTGTGGTAGAAAATAATAATAATAAAAAAAACTGCTACACCTGTCACTGCCACGCCTGTCACTACCATACCTGTCACTACCACGCCTGTCACTGCCACACCTGTCACTACCATACCTGTCACTGCCACGCCTGTCACTACCATACCTGTCACTACCACGCCTGTCACTACCATGCCTGTCACTACCACACCTGTCACTACCATACCTGTCACTACCACACGTATCATCACCACTGTCACTACCACACCCATAACCACCCACCACACCACCGCCACCCACCACACCCATCATCACCCACCACACCCATCGCCACCAATCACCCATCACCACCAATCACCCATCACCACCAATCACCCATCACCATCAATCACCCACCACCACCACACCCATCACCACCACACCCACCACACCCATCACCACCACACCCACCACACCCATCACCACCACACCCACCACACCCACCACCTACCAGGTATACACATGAACCCAGGCACAAGTGGGGTCCAGCCACCGTCCAAGCACTCGAGCTGATCGTAGGTGCCCCCTGTGGGTGAGGCGGTGCCCAGGTCGCAGGTGAAGTTGACGTGGGTGCCCACCCAGTAGGGCGCGGGCGGGCCCTCCAGCGAGGCGTTGGTGGGCAGCGTCGGCAGGGTAGCGGTGCACTCTGCCGGGGGAGAGTGAAAATGTGTGTGTGTTGTTAATGTACTCTCTTGTGGCACAGTCGCTCCCACACTCTCACACTCAGTTAATGTGTAAGTGTGATCATTACAATTCAATATATTATCAGTCAAGAACATACAAAAAGACGATTAATTGACATTGTGTTGGTCAGCTGACTGATATCAAGCTATATTAACTGATGGAAATAACTAGAAATTTATATAAAATAAAAAATATACACACAAACACACACACACACACACACACACACACACACACACACACACACACACACACACACACACACACACACACACACACACACACATACACACACACATACACACACACATACACACACACACACACACACACACACACACACACACACACACACACACACACACACACACACACACACACACACACACACACACACACACACACACATACATTCACACACACACACATACATTCACACACACACACACACACACACACACACACACACACACACACACACACACACACACACACAAACACACACATGAGCCACAGAGATATTAGAAAGAACTTTTTTAGTGTCAGACACACACACACACACACACACACACACACACATACACACACACATACATTCACACACACACACATACATTCACACACACACACACACACACACACACACATTCACACACACACACACACACACACACACACACACACACACACACACACACACACACACATACAGACACACACACCCGTGGTGATCACCTTGTCTACAGATGAGGATGTCCGGGTCAACATAGGTCCAGTTGCCGTCATCTTGACAGGTAACTGTGAGTGAGTGGTTGAGGTCGCCCAGGGAGAGAGTGCCGGGGCAGCTGAGAGTAACCTGGTGGTGGGGAATATTAAGTCACAGTGCCTCTAGCATAAGGTAATCATCAGGAGAATGCACATATTGTACTTGAAAGAGGACTGAAGACAAGGAGCTGGGACATGCATCTTACAGCCAGTGAGAGAACTGTGTCCATGAGCTCCCCCGATGGAAACTCGTGGAACATCGGGGTACGAACGCCAACCCTGTAAGATGCACGGCCATAGCTCTCCCGACCTTTTTCAAATCGGTAAAAATTGTAGTGAGATAGATGTGGAGGTCGTCACTCTCCAGGGTGTTACCTTCATGAAGCACCAAAGAAAACTACTGCTAAAGTTTGACTATTAAAGCGAAGAAACAGTCAGCTATCAGACCAACCCTGACATTAGACATGCCAATATTAATAGAGACAGGAGACATGCCAACATCAATAAAGACATTAGACATGCCAACATCAATAAAGACATTAGACATGCCAACATCAATAAGAGGAACAAGAAGGGAAGCAATAACTTACCTGAGAACCAAAGATAATGTTGACACCGTCCCAGGAGGAGTTGCCGTAGAGGACGAAGGGGGGAGCACTCCCGCACACTGTGGAGGGGAGAAGAGGGGAGAAGGAAGAAGGGAGGCAGGAGGGAGGAGAGGAGTGAGTACCAGAGACAGGATGATATAGAGGGAGAAGGGGTAAAAGGAGGGAGGGAAGAGGTGACAGATATTAGTTACTGACTCTTGTCATGACAAAAGCTGGTACATGACAGCCGTGGTGGTGACGGGCGTGTCATTACTCACAACCTGACGTGATGATACAGGTAATATGTGTGTGACCTGTGTTGTGTGGCCGGACTTGTCTGTCAAAGGCGGGGGGGGGGGGCTGTTGGCTCCCTGCTCCTACTGTCTATAGCAGTGTTGTTTGTTGGTGATTGTTTACTGGTGTTGTTTATTGGTGGTTGATTATTGGTGGTTATTATGACCCCACATACACCAGTATGATCATACTGAGGCTGGTGTATGAGGTGCTCAAACCATACAGTTATATCATGGCTGATTAGGATGTTAGTCATGACTAGGATGTTAGTCATGACTAGGATGTTAGTCATGACTAGGATGTTAGTCATGACTAGGATGTTAGTCATGATTAGGATGTTAGTCATGACTAGGATGTTAGTCATGACTAGGATGTTAGTCATGACTAGGATGTTAGTCATGACTAGGATGTTAGTCATGACTAGGATGTTAGTCATGACTAGGATGTTAGTCATGACTAGGATGTTAGTCATGACTAGGATGTTAGTCATGACTAGGATGTTAGTCATGACTAGGATGTTAGTCATGACTAGGATGTTAGTCATGGTGTTGTAATGTATACCATGGATCATTTCTACCGTGATGTATCATGTATACCAGGTGGTTGGTGCTGTTATATGTCTTAGTGAGGTGATGTATTCTGAGGAACTTAAGTAATGCCAAGTCGCTGTGTATGATATTATATTCCTCGTACCTCATGTGTTACTGGCTGTGACGCCATCACCCTTTTTTAGTTATTGTTCTTGTTTAAGATTTGCTACCTGGAACAAAAAGTCCCAAGTAGCACGGGCTATGGTGAGCCCGTATTGTCCCTTTTTTGGTATTAGCATAATAATAGGCGCTAGTGTCCCACTGCGCCAGGATAGAGCCAGGTGTCAGTGCTGAGGGTATGCAGTTTCCAGACCGGTTGTTGACCATGCCCAGTTGTTGAGAGTCTGGATAAAGTAATTTTGTGTGAGTGGAGGTTATCTTGAGAGGATTTCGGGGCTTTAGTGTCCCCGCGGCCCGGTCCTCGACCAGGCCTCCACCCCCAGGAAACAGCCCGTGACAGCTGACTAACTCCCAGGTACCTATTTACTGCTAGGTAACAGGGGCATTCAGGGTGAAAGAAACTTTTGCCCATTTGTTTCTGCCTCGTGCGGGAATCGAACCCGCGCCACAGAATTACGAGTCCTGCGCGCTATCCACCAGGCTACGAGGCTACGAGGTGGATGGTATTTTTTTTTTTAATGTTATGTGGATTTATATTAATGGCCAGTAAACTGGAATATTTTTTTGTTAGCCTTTCACTCCCCTTGAACATTGATATTTGGCCAGGCCAGGTCTCCCAGTGACGCTCAAGGTTACTCCCTCTTAACATGTTAATATGGGGGGGGGAGGGTCTTGTACGTGTCCATAACACTGGTGGTTGTTTATTGGTGATTACAAGTGGTTGTTTATTGGTGGTTATTTGTGGCTGTTTACTAGTATTGTTTACTGGTGGTTCTTTACTGGTGGTTGTTTTTTGGTGGTTGTTTATTGGTGATTGTTTACTAGTGATTGTTTATTGATTGTTGCTTATTGGTAGTTGATTATTGGTGGTTGTTTACTGGTAGTTGTTTATTAGTGGTTGTTCACTGGTGGGTGTTTATTGATTGTTATTTACTGGTGTTTTTTTTATTGGCGTTTGTTTACTGGTGGTGGTTTATTGGAGGTTGTTTATTGATGGTTGTTTACTGGTGGTTGTTTACTGGTGGTTGTTTACTGGTGGTTGTTTACTGGTGGTTGTTTACTGGTGGTTGTTTACTGGTGGTTGTTTACTGGTGGTTGTTTACTGGTGGTTGTTTACTGGTGGTTGTTTACTGGTGGTGGTTTTAGTGACTGAGGCAGGAGTGACGGTCCTCAGCACGAGGTCGTCCTGTAACCTGCACCTCGCCTCTACCCACACAAGTATCTCTTCAAGTATTTATAAACTTCGCACCTGATATCTCCCTCCGCCCCCCACGACGCCAGGGGCACCTGGTACTCACCATTATAGCAGCCAAACTGCGGGTCGAGGGCACTCCAGCCGGTGTCGGAGCAGTTGAGGCTGACGGAGGTGTTGGCGCGGGCGGACTGCATGTCCTTGGGGCACCTGAAGGTCACACTGTCCCCCACCCAGTAGGGGAACACCGCCCCCACCTGCGTCGCGTTCACGGGTGTGGCTGGCAGCGATGTTGGGCACACTGCCGGGGAAGAATGTGGGGGTGAGTGTGTGGGGGAAGCACTCGGGACACAAGTCACTTCACAACCCACCCACTTCCACTTTAAGCTTGGCGTTGTGCTTTCTCCTAATAATTATCTTACCTTTTAACTACTCACCGCTCACACACACCCTTTGCTGACCCTGAGCACAGGGACTGAGCACGGGGACCCCGAGCACAGGGCCTGAGCACGGGGACCCCGAGCACAGGGCCTGAGCACGGGGACCCCGAGCACAGGGCCTAGCACGGGACTTGAGCACGGCCTGAGCACGGGACCTGAGCACGGGACCTGAGCACAGGGCCTGAGCACAGGGCCTGAGCACGGGACCAAAGCCGCAAGACCTCTCCCGTGAGTGAGAACATGATAGCAACGACAAGCGTAATAACCTTTATATAAATTAGGTCGTTAACTGTGTAAACAATCGTCCATAAAAGATTGGGACCGTTCCCGCGGGACTGTTAAAGCGCTGTACTGCAACCTGTCCTGAGATCAAGTCCATTCCTTCCAGCGGTCGACCCCAAAGGCGCATCCATCAATTTTAACATTCTATTCATTCAAAATAAGAATTTTCTCAACTGTAAATGAAAATTGTTATAAGCATGCTGTGCATATTTAGGCACTGGTTAGGTCAGGTGTTTAGGTTCTGTTGGCGATTATTTGTATTTGTAGTACGTGGGTGAAGCATTTATAGCGTTGTGGTTCGGACAAAATTCGTCAGTAAAGCACATGTTCCGGAAGTGTTCGATCATCATCAATTGTGATTCGTGTGTAAACCGTTTTTCATTCATAAACACCAGGAGGTTTGGCAGGTGCATGGAATGGACTTTGGCCTTTGTTTATGAGGACGGGCTGTACAACTGATGACGTCCGAACACTTCCGGAATAAGTGCTTCGTTGACGACTTTAGTTCGAACTACAACGGTGTAAACAGCCCGTCCTTCAAACAGATCCAAAAGTGATTCCATACACCCCCCAAACCCCCTGTTTATGAATAAAAAATGGTTTACATACGACTCAACTGATGACGTTCGAACACCCACGTACTACAAATACAAATACTCGCCAACAGAACCTAAACACCTAACCTACCCAGTACCTAAATATGTACAGTATGCTAATATATAACAATTTTCATATATAGTTGAGAAAATTCTTATATTGAATGAACAGAATGTTAAAATTGATGAATGCGTCTTTGGGGTCGACCGCTGGATGGAATAGACTTGATCTGAGGACAGGTTGCAGTATGGAGCTTAAAGAGTCCCGACGTAACGTTCCCAATCTTTTCCGGACGATTGTTTACATAGTTAACGACCTAACTTCTTATTATATACTTTTTATTATAATATATAGGCTATTTTGACCAGACCACACACTAGAAATTGAAGGGACGACGACGTTTCGGTCCGTCCTGGACCATTCTCAAGTCGATTGTGTGTGGTCTGGTCAACATACTTCAGCCACGTTATTGTGACTCATCGCCTGCATATATAGGCTAGATTGTATTCTAACAATGAGTTAGAAGGTTGAGTTAGGAACGGTTAGGAAGATTTAAAATTGCGACAGCGGACTGCATTGTCTTCGATGTGCTGGAATGCGTCTAAACTCCCCACGAGTGAGTGGGTGGCGGGAGAGGCCCTTGTGACCTTGCAGGAGGCTGTGAGGGCCGCCGACCTACCTTTCCTGCAGGTGAGGAGTGATGGGGTGGCTGGGGTCCACTGCCCGGTGTCTCCACAGGTCAGGACGATGGTGGTGTTGAGGTCCGCGAAGGCGTACCCAGACGGGCATGTGTACGTCACCTGCCGGACATACACCAACGTCAGTCCTGTGTGTGTGTGTGTGTGTGTGAGCATGTGTGTGTATGTGTGAGCATGTGTGTGTGTGTGTGTGAGCGTGTGTACTCACCTAGTTGTACTCACCTAGTTGTGCTTGCGGGGGTTGAGCTCTGGCTCTTTGGTCCCGCCGTGTGTGTGTGTGTGCATTCCATTTCCCCACTACTCTCACGCTAAAAGAAAACTTCCTAACATCTCTGTGACTCATCTGAGTTTCAAGCTTCCATCCATGTCCTCTCGTTCTGTTACTATTCCGTGTGAACATTTCGTCTATGTCCACTCTGTCAATTCCTCTGAGTATCTTATACGTTCCTATCATGTCCCCCTCTCCCTTCTTCTTTCTAGTGTCGTAAGGCACAATTCCCTCAGGCGCTCTTCATACCCCATCCCTCGTAGCTCTGGGACGAGTCTCGTTGCAAACCTCTGAACCTTTTCCAGTTTCATTATATGTTTCTTCAGATGGGGACTCCATGATGAGGCGGCATACTCTAAGACTGGCCTTACGTAGGCAGTGTAAAGCGCCCTAAATGCCTCCTTACTTAGGTTTCTGAATGATGTTCTAACTTTTGCCAGTGTAGAGTACGCTGCTGTCGTTATCCTATTAATATGTGCCTCAGGAGATAGATTAGGTGTTACGTCCACCCCCAGGTCTCTTTCACGCGTCGTTACAGGTAGGCTGTTCCCCTTCATTGTGTACTGTCCCTTTGGTCTCCTATCTCCTAGTCCCATTTCCATAACTTTACATTTGCTCGTGTTGAATTCTAGTAGCCATTTCTCTGACCATCTCTGCAATCTGTTCAGGTCCTCTTGGAGGATCCTGCAATCCTCATCTGTCACAACTCTTCTCATCAACTTTGCATCATCCGCAAACATCGACATGTAGGACTCTACGCCTGTAAACATGTCGTTAACATATACAAGAAATAGAATTGGCCCAGCACCGATCCTTGTGGTACTCCACTTGTTACTGTTCGCCAGTCCGACTTCTCGCCCCTTACCGTAACTCTTTGGCTCCTTCCTGTTAGGTAGTTCCTTATCCATTCTAGGACCTTTCCCCCCACCCCCGCCTGCCTCTCGAGCTTGAACAGCAGTCTCATGTGCGGTACTGTATCAAAGGCTTTTTGGCAGTCCAGAAATATGCAGTCTGCCCAACCATCTCTGTCCTGTCTTATCCTCGTTATTTTATCATAGAATTCCAGAAGGTTTGTTAGGCACGATTTCCCTGTCCAGAACCCATGTTGATGTTTGTTCACAAACCTAATGTTCTCCAGGTGTGCAACCAGTCGCAGCCTAATTATTCTTTCCAGTATTTTGCAGGGGATGCTTGTCAGTGATACAGGTCTGTAGTTAAGTGCCTCCTCCCTATCTCCTTTCTTGAAGATCGGCACGACATTTGCCTTCTTCCAGCAACTGGGCAATTCTCCTGACATAAGTGACTCATTAAAGATCATTGCCAGAGGCACGCTGAGGGCCTGTGCTGCTTCTTTTAGTATCCACGGTGATACTTTGTCTGGTCCAACTGCTTTAGTTGCATCTAGAGTTGTCAACTGTTTCATTACCTCCTCTGCTGTCACCTCTATATCTGATAGTCTTTCATCTAGGGTAACCCCTTCCAACAATGGGAGCTGCTCAGGCTCGGTAGTGAACACTCCATGGAAACTGGCATTCAGTGCCTCGCAGATTTCCTTGTCACTTTCAGTATATGCCCCCTCTGTCTTCCTTAGTCTTGTCACTTGGTCGTTCACCGACATTTTTCTTCTTATATGACTGTGTAGTAACTTGGGTTGTTTTTTCGCTTTGATTGCAATATCGTTCTCATATTCCCTTTCCGATGTTCGTCTTATGTTAATGTAATCGTTCCTAGCTCTGTTGTATCTGCTTCTGTTGTCCTCTGTTCTTTGTCTTCTGTACTTCCTCCACTCCCGTCTGCTGGCCATTTTTGCTTCCTGACACTGTCTATTAAACCATGGGTTATTATATTCCTTCTTATTTTTCCCTTTACCGTTGGTATAAATCTCTCTTCGGCCTCCTGGCATTTCTGTATGACTAGGTCCATCATATCTTGGACTGTTTTTCCTCTAATTTCTTCCTCCCACTGCACTTCACCCAGATAGTCCCTTATCCTCATATAGTCCCCTTTCCTGTAGTCAGCTCTCCTTTCCCAGATCTCTTGTTCCATGGTCATAAGTTTGAATTCCATCATGTAGTCAAAGACTAGGACACAATGGTCACTGGCCCCTAGAGGTATTTCATGCTCTAAATTCTCGATATCTTCTACGTTCTGGGTGAAAATCAGGTCTAATAGGCTCGGTGCATCTCCTCCTCTTTCCCTTGTGTCTTCCTTCACATGTTGTGTCAGGAAATTCCTGTCTATAACATCTACTAATTTTGCTCCCCACGTTTCGTCCCCTCCATGGGGATTCCTTGATTCCCAATTTATCTCTCCATGATTTAGGTCCCCCATGATCAGCAGCTTCGCTCTCATTCTGTGGGCTAGTGTTGCTGCCTTCTGCAGTTCATCTATACATGCTTTGTTGTTGTCATCATACTCCTGCCTGGGTCTTCTACTGTTTGGTGGGGGATTGTAGATTACCAGGATCACAATCTTCCTCCCATCTACTGTCAGAGTTCCATGTATGAAGCTTGAGCGTGTGTGTGTGTGTGTGAGCGTGTGTATGTGTGTGTGCGTGTGCGTGCGTGTGCGCAGGTGTGTGTGTGTGTCCAGCAACTCACCTGGGTTCCGGCCACTCTGGAAAATCCGTCCCAGGAGGAGTTGGCGGGGGCGAGCACTTTAAGCGGGTCCACCGTGCACACTGCAAGGGAGACAGATACGTGACCATCAAGGGGGGAGGTTTACCCTCGCATTCCTGACACTGACACACTCATATTGCTGACATTCTTTGTATTCCTGATTCTTGACATTCTTGGTATTGGTGTCTTACTGTGCTGTAGGACTAGCTGGCCTGTTCATGGCTTGTTATAGTGGAACAGAGATTGCTAGAACCCATATAAGATATTACCTGAACATGTTCAGTATATAACCTTTTATGCTTTATAATATAATAGTGATTGAAACATCAAATTTAAAATACCACGCACGCACACACATGTACACACACACGGGGGGGGGGGACACGCACACACACACACGGGAGGACACTCACACACGCACAAGGGGACACAGGTTGAAGCTGAGTACCCAAATGAGTCACAGAGACATTAGAAAGAACTTTTTCAGTGTCAGAGTAGTTAATAAATTGAATGCACTAGGAAATGATGTGGTGTAGGCAGACTCCATACACAGTTTCAAGTGTAGATATGACAGAGCCCAGTAGGCTCGGGAATCTGTACACCAGTTGATTGACAGTTGAGAGGCGGGACCAAAGAGCCAGAGCTCAACCCCCGCAAGCACAACTAGGTGAGTACACACATACACATACACACACACACACACACACACACACACACACACACACACACACACTGAGAAGACCAACAGGCCGGGAATGAGCAAGGTCTAACAGGGTGCTGCCACAGACGTAAACAATCCACACACACTCACACTTGGCACACTCCAGCAGCCCTCCAGCAGCCCACGAGTGTGACGAGGCGTTGCACGTCACATTTACCGACGTCTGGTACGTCTGGTTCACCTGCACGAGAGGGAAAAAAACATTAATTAAGCTTTTTAGCGCACCTGAACAGTTCTTAATGATATCTTGTTATCGCAACACCTGGAAGGTAAGGTTATTATGAGGAGAAAGCACCAAGCCATTACGACAATATAGCACTTGGTAGGGCTCAGGATAAGGAGTTGAGATGGGACGGAGAGAAGGCATGGTGCCCAATCACTTCGACGGGCAACGCATGAAAATAAAGGTTGGGAAAATGGATTTGCTTTTGCCATCACTCTTCTACAAGTAGCAGAAAAAGAAGAAATTACCATCAACATTATTAACACCACTACTACTACCACCATCACCAGTCTCCCTCACCGTCATCACTACCACCAGCATCACCACCACTACCCCCACACTAACAAACATATACTCTGCCTTCCATAGTTCATAACTAGCCAACTAGCCTGGAGGGAGTTTAATTAGTTTGAGACTGAGAGGGGGAGGCCAGGCCCACACTGTGACCCAGACGATCAACTCCCTCAAAATATATCACATATATGACACCAGTTTTCTGGTTGACACGACTAACACTTGACCAAAGTTACAATATGCTCATTAAAACGTATACAAATATGTCATTTAAATTAATAAATTTAAACTGGGGCGGTAGAATAAAATATTCACGTGAATTCAGAATTTTTGTTTTTTTATCTGAATGCTCTTTATTTCCTTGCCTATAAAGGATGATCCAAGCAATGGCAAATGTTTCTTGCAAGCGTACATTTATTCAACATACTTAAAACGCATTCAAAATATCATCGGATCTAAAAGCACAAATAAAAATGATTATGCACAGAAATGTTTATTCCAGTTAAAAAGGAAAGGGAGTACCACCTCTGGCTGGAAGAAGGGGGACCCACAGCCTCGGAGGAAACCACACATAACGCATTGGAGGGAATGTGGGTCCCCTCCAATACAGTTTCTGTGTGCTTTTCTCCTACCACCCGGTTAAAATATATTTATTTCCATAATTCCATTCAAAATATATTCATTTCCAGTTAAAATATATTTATTTGAACAAATGACGATAACATTTCTCTAATGAAAAACACGATAACAAAATGCATAAAATGTATGTGAACTGAAGCAAAGAAAAGGATATATATATCTACATTTAACTGTTCAAAATAGAAAAAGTTAAACAAATTAATCACATTAAGTGGTCAAGAGATGGAATACTGAGCAGTCCCCGTGGCGCAGTGGTAACAAACTCGCCCCGCGCTTCACCAGCGATTTGGCCTGGGTTAGTATCCTAGCCGGGGGGGAGTATTAACTAGGTGCCAATCCTTAACTGTAGCCTCTGTTCACCCAGCAGGGAATGGATACCTGGTTGTTAAACCATTTGGCGGGTCGTATTCCGGGGACAATTAGGAGTAAAGACCTGCCTGAAATGTTATGTGTGCTAGTGGCTGAACAAGAATGTAACAACTCTTGTATATATACAACATAAAAACATGCACATACACACTACTAATGATGTAATTACCTACGGGCTCACCATAGCCCGTGCTACTTGGAACTGCTTGTTCCAAGTAGCGAATCTTTAACAACAACAACAATACTAATGAACTTATAAGGAAACAAATGATACTGGGAATTTATATAAAAAAAAATAAGATATCAAAAACAATACAAAAAACTGTTTCCCAACTCTTAAAACAAAACTATACATGACCAATCCACAATATGTTTATACAGACACAAACCCTAAGAAAAACATAGACAGCAAAAAAATCCACTAGACATTAAGAAAAGGAAGAAACTAAAGAAAATCAGCGTGATTCTTAACTGTAAAGTTGGCAAGACAATTTTTTTTTTGTCTGATGATGCCAATAAAAGGCTTATTGTCATAAACCTGTACAATTGGCATAATTGACCTGTATAATTATGGGAATTGTACAGGACAACTGTTTTGGCGGCCATAATAAATAACAGGCAAACATGCCTCTAATTATTTGTTCTAGCATTGTTATTATTTTAAGTAATAGCAGCATATTATTATTATTTATGCATGACTTAAACTAATTACATTTGGTTGGTGAGATCAAGAACAATTAAGACGTCACCTGTATATCAGTATTTGAACCAGGAAAGTAGAGACAAAGGTATACTGACAGCGGTGGGAGGTATGTTGTAGCCCGGGGCGCAGGTGTAGGCGATGGTGGTGCCCACGGCGTAGGTGGTGGTGTTGGACCTGGTCATGTTGGCCCCGGGGACAGGCGGATCCATCACGCACCCTGCCGCCGCCACACACGGAAAAGGGCGTTAACGTATCAACATGTGAATAAAGGATATTGAAGAAGGCCTGTTGGCCCATACGAAGCACCTATTGATATTCACCCAAACCCATATATATATATATATATATATATATATATATATATATATATATATATATATATATATATATATATATATATATATATATATATATATATATATATATATATATATATATATATAATATAATAATATTGTGACGGTGTCCCACCCTACGTCTTTCCTATCCCGGCGTAAAGAATATAGCTCTTCTAGATGTGATGGGCCGTAGAGAGAAGAGTGGCGACGAAAACAGAGGCGAACGTTAGAGGGAGACTCCCCGCACCGGGGGGGTGCGGGGGGGGGGGGTCGTGATCACGGTGGCAGCTGATCCATGCACGGCTTAGCAGCGTGCGCAAGACGGGAACTAATACTTCTCCGGAAACTTGTGTATCGGAAAGCGCAAGCAGTACGCTTCCCAAATCACCCGCAGGTCAGCGGGCAGCCGGCCACCAGGCGGCGCCCTCGGCTGAGACATCCTATCAGGCACCCTATACACAAACTCCTTCGCCCGCGACACCCAGACAGTGGACGAGCACCACGGGATCGGAAGCACCCGGGCATCCCGATAAGGGCCCAACTCCGGACCCTCACAGGGCACGACCCCAGCAGACGGGACTAGGCAATCCCCAGACTGGAGCAAAGAAGGAGGGGATACAGCAGGGGACGCAGGCGCGGCACCGACCCCACCACCGGGCACAGGAGCCGAGGCCCTCTGGCGCACATCTTTCCGCAACATCACGACGAGGTCCCGATCATCAGGGACAACCCCCCACTGCGGAGATCCAACAGCAGGAGACGCAGGAGGAGAGGCACAGGTAGCAACTTCGGAGCCCCTCACAGCACCATCATTCTCGGCGGGGGGCGCCAGATAACCATACTCCCCCACCTCCTCCCAAGGCACACCACGAAGGGGAGACACACTCCGAGCCCGCCGTGAACGCTTCGAGACAGGCCTCACCACACCACGCCCAGCAGGCCCCGCCGCAGGCACGGCCACCATCTTTACATCCACACAGGCCACACCCGCACCGTCCGAAGAGTCCACAGAGGCCACATCACCCACACTGTCCACATCATCCAGGGAAACAGCCTCAGAACACCGACGCGCACGCTTCTGCAAAGGGACGGAAAGAGCAGAACTACAGTCACCAACACACACAGACACGGCAGGCACCTCCCCCTGCCGAAGCACCCCCTCTAAAACAGCAGAACCCGCGTCCCCGGGAGCCGGTATCACATCCACAGGCGGGGGCGGGACATGGACCTCCACCGAGACATCCTGCACTACACGCAGCTCAGGCGACGGCCCGACACCCACACACACCGGCTCAACAACCCCAGGGGCCACAGCAGTCACCTGACGTGTCGCACAGGCCGTAGAACTCGCCTCAACAGGCGGAGCAGCAGACAGGCAATCAGGCGCCTCAGGCACAGCACCCACTCCGTCCTCAGAACCGTCCGAACGTAACAAGGGCGGGAAATCCTCTGCACGAAAAACATGCACCCGACCAGGTGCTCCCACGTCGCACGCCGCAGCCAGGTGACCCTCGTGACCACACCGATAACAGGTGCGCGGTTGACCCCGGTACAAGCAGCGGAGCGTGTAACCCAACACGGACATCGACGACGGTACACTACACTTCAGCGACATCGTCAGGGTGCGGGAGCCGTCAAGCATACCAACACAGTGCCCGGCAACGACCTTGTTCCAACGAACACTTAACACGGTCCCAAATCGCTCAAAACAGGAGGTTAAAAAGTCGTCCTGAAATTCGAAGGGGGCACCATGCACCGCCACAGACGTCAAGGTGACACTAAGATTCACCACCTTAACTGAGCCAGCTGAATCAGGGAGTGGGTAAACACGCCCCTCACAACGCTCGAGAAACACCTGAAAGGCAGCCTGGAGGCGGAACTTGACCACAGCACGGTTGCCCTGAAGCAGCTGGACGCCCACCAGGTCCGACAGCTGCACATGAAGCACGTCCACCAGGGCGACACCAACCAATGGATGATCCACCGGCACCGTAAACGCTAGACCAGCCGACAATGTCCTCTGCACTGGAGGGCGAGAAGACCCCATGGCTAAGGCAAACGTCACCCAGTCAGTGGCAAACCACCACCAGCAGGGCAAACAAGCAATCACCCAACGTAAACACTAGCCAGTGCGGAGAGACCTCAGGAGCGTCCGACCTGGCCGGTGGTCACCAATAGCTCTTCAACCTGCACGTTCTCGGATGCTCAGGGAACATTTTGGCATATATAAAGGTATTCAAAGTTATTGTGTGGGAGGTGAATTTGCTGATTTAGTTTTGGTACTGCAGGTGGCTTACGCCCTTCAGTATCACAAGATGGCGCCGGGGCGAAGATGTTCCCGCCAAAGGAGCCTGACGCCAGCCGTCTGGTGATTGGCCAGGTAAGGTCACGTGACGGAGGTGACCAATAGCGCGGCGCCCTTGGGTGGTGTGTGACGTCACAAGGCGGAGGACTCCGGGCGGCCCAGTGCCCTGCGGCGCTCAGTGAGTCACGGCCCGTCATTGAGCATAGACACGCTCAAGTGAGCTCCCAGTTTGGAGGCTAGGAAGCCTCAGCCAGTGGACCCAAGTGGCCGCATTGATACTAGAGACGTCGAGGAAGATTAGTTGACTCCTGGGGAGTACATGGAAGCAAGGCTTAGTTGGTGTTAGAGCGCCAATAGCTCTTTTTGCTGATAGTCTGTGGCGGAGGTGAACGTTGGCGCTGGGACGTGAGACGCCCTGCGGGCCGCCTTCAGACACATCAAGCCAGCTGCTGTGACCGGGTCAAGTCCACTGGAAGAGTGAGAAGGGCACACTGAACCAGACTGCAAGTTTGTCTACAGTTCCAGGTATAACAAAGCTGTATTACATAATGTATCCGATACATTATTTATACAATTCTAGAAACAATTGTCGGGTGACATGACAGACGTTGAGTCGCTGGATGGTTGCAAGCGTTGACACAGGAATGAATGGGAGTCGTTTAATGTAAGTGGCATTTGCTTCGTATGGGTCACCTGGCCTTGTGTAGTTAACCATATTAATATAAGAACTTACAAATTTAACAAACTGCAGAATGCCTAGTGGCCTACACGAGGCACCTCCCCTCTTACTGTATTTCTGAAACTGGAAACTTTAATCATCCATGTTGAAACAGATTGTTTAAGTTATATATACAATTATTTCTCAAATCATGTCCAGACATCACAAATGTATCTCCCTACGTTTTCAAACAACACGATTGTGTCACCCAACATCTCTAGACGACTCGAATGTGTCACCCAACATCTCCAGACGACACGAATGTGTCACCCAACATCTCTAGACGACACGAATGTGTCACCCAACATCTCCAGACGACACGAATGTGTCACCCAACATCTCTAGACGACACGAATGTGTCACCCAACATCTCCAGACGACACGAATGTGTCACCCAACATCCCCAGACGACACGAATGTGTCTCGCTGCTCCCCACCAACAAGGTGACAACCAACATACCTTCGTAACAAGTGCCATTGCCCCAGCCCGTCGGGAGGCACGGTATTGGTGAGGAGGTGGCACCTATCTTGAAGAGGTGGTCGGCATCACAGGTGGCATTCACCGTGTTGTTGATCAAGTAGGTGTTGCTGCCCAACCAGTCTGTTGTGGCGTTCGTGATGTTAGGCTGCCCGAGACACACTGGGGAGGGGGGGGTGGAGCCAGGTAATTAGTAATAACTACCTGTGTATTTAGGTAAGCATGTATGTAAGTAGGGCAGTAGGAACGTTGATTGGTATGTAGGTAGGTAGGTGCAAAGGTTGGTATTTAGATAGATAAGTAGGTTGGTAAGGAGTTAGGTATTTAGGTTCATGAGGAAATAAGTAGGTTGGCGGGTAGGAAAGCATTGACTTGCAGTTTGCAAATTGCTAAAGCAAATTAACTAGCTGTTTGAAAATTGCAAGTGAAAATTTACCTGCAGTTTGAAAAAAAAACGATGGCTGTTGGAAATAAAACGCTTGACCGTTACTTTTTTAGCGTAATTCGATTGCTGATTTGATTCGATTCGGGATGATTGCACATATTTGGAGTTTTAAATTACTTTTTTTTATACTGTAAATATGCAATAAGTGAAAACGGAGATTAGTCATGACTTGTGGTGACTTGGAAGGTATGTAGGAAAGTTGGCAGGTGAGTAGTTACGTAGGCAATTTGGGAGGTGGGTAATTAGGTAAATGACAGATAGGCAGGTTGGTAAATAAATAGGAAAGACAAGTAGGTATATATAGTAGATAAGTAGGTATATAGGTATGGTAGAGGATGGTGAGACCTCAACGACTGATTAATCGTTGAGATTAACTGAGACCACACACTCAGACCTTGACAAGGCACTCAGGAGAGTGCGAAAGACTTGGTGTAAATTCTTTACATAAATTTCACAAATACATAAGTTTGGGTGTTTATCCTATGTTATTATATCTGTGAAAAGACATTACCGTTACTTGTATAAATAGGAGTGACATAGGTTTATTTTGTATTGAATGAGAATAACAAGAGATATTTTCTTCAAATTATTTGTAAAAAAAAAATTTATTGAAAACTCCATTAATAAAAGATTTTGTTCCTCAATATCTTATGAACTTGAGAATAGTCGAAAATTAACTAAGTAAATTAAATAAATCAATATTATATGTTAGAACAACGATTACTGGATAATGAAAGCGGGCCTAAAAATAAAAAAAAAAATCTATCATATATTTATCAACATATTATCTATGAAGTAGTGACTTATTCCAAGAGGCAGTTTTGGAGCCAAATTTCAAATTAAGATAACAACAAATTTGTGTTAACGAGGGTCTTTAAGGGTTACCATCCCTACACAATTTGCTTATTCAAATATTTTATCTAAATAGTCCCTAGCCAGCGTCACCCTCTGACACCCGGCTTAGTCACCGGCGCCACCTACCAGTACAGGGCTGAACCCTAAGAGGACTGAAGTTGAAGCTGGTGATATTGGCGATACAGGTGATGGTCTGTGTAGTGGCTCCAGTGCCATTTACGGCCATCATATACGGACAGGTGTAGTTGATCGTCCCTCCCAGGTACCGATACTCTATGTCGGTCGTGTTGGTGATGTACTTAGGGCTTACGGGCGGGATACTGTTGCACACTGTTGGTCACAGGGTGTTCCATTAGTGTTGTTGGGGCCAGACAGCGCGTCACACACACGCACGCACGCACACACACACACACACACACACACACACACACACACACACACACACACACACACACACACACACACACACACACACACACACACACACACAAAACATGGTAACATTGCCTACCGTTCTCAACTAACAATACATGCTAAACGTAACAAATATTTGAGCTAGCTGTCTCGTAAGTTTGTCAAGCTCGTTTCAGAGGCGCAAGTCCAGTTGAGGCCGGATTCATCAACAGTTTCGCAAGCACTTACGATCCTGTATAGCTTTTCTCAATCTTTGGCGCCTTTGTTTACAATTATTAAACAGTTAATGAGCTCCGAAGCACCAGGAGGCTGTTTATAACAATAACAACAGTTGACTGGGAAGTTTTCATGTTTGTAAACTGTTTAATAAATGTAACTAAAGTCGTCAAAAATTGAGGAAAGATGTACACTTTCGTAAGCACTTGCGTAACTGCTTCGTGAATCTGGCGCCTGGGGTCCGTAAGTACTTGCGTAACTGCTGATGAATCCGGATCCAGGAGCTTCACAGGTACCAAGAGCACCACATGTACCAGGAGCCTTAGGTACCAGGAGCCTCACAGGTGCCAGGAGCCTTACAGGTACCAAGAGCACCACATGTACCAGGAGCCTTACAGATACCAGGAGCCTCACAGGTACCAAGAACACCACATGTACCAGGAGCCTCACAGGTACCAAGAACACCACATGTACCAGGAGCCTTACAGATACCAGGAGCCTGAGAGGTCCCAAGAACACCATAGGTACCAGGAGCCTGAGAGGTTCCAAGAACACCATAGGTACCAGGAGCCTGAGAGGTTCCAAGAACACCATAGGTACCAGGAGCCTGAGAGGTTCCAAGAACACCACATGTACCAGGAGCCTCACAAGTACCAAGAACACCACAAGTACCAGGAGCCTCACAGGTACCAGGAGCCTCACAGGTTCCAAGAACACCACATGTACCAGGAGCCTCACAGGTACCAAGAACACCACATGTACCAGGAGCCTCACAGGTACCAAGAACACCACATGTACCAGGAGCCTCACAGGTACCAAGAACACCACATGTACCAGGAGCCTCACAAGTACCAAGAACACCACATGTACCAGGAGCCTCACAAGTACCAAGAACACCACATGTACCAGGAGCCTCACAGGTACCAGGAGCCTCACAGGTACCAAGAACACCACATGTATCAGGAGCCTCACAGGTACCAGGAGCCTCACAAGTACCAAGAACACCACATGTACCAGGAGCCTCACAGGTACCAGGAGCCTCACAGGTAACAAGAGCACCACATGTACCAGGAGCCTCACAGGTACCAAGAACACCACATGTACCAGGAGCCTCACAAGTACCAGGAGCCTCACAGGTACCAGGAGCCTCACAGGTAACAAGAGCACCACATGTACCAGGAGCCTCACAGGTACCAAGAACACCACATGTACCAGGAGCCTCACAAGTACCAGGAGCCTCACAGGTAACAAGAGCACCACATGTACCAGGAGCCTCACAGGTACCAAGAACACCACATGTACCAGGAGCCTCACAAGTACCAGGAGCCTCACAGGTACCAGGAGCCTCACAGGTACCACGAGCACCACATGTACCAAGAACCTCTATCATCAGGAACCCAAGAAACCAGAGAAATCCAATAGATTCCAAGAGTCTTACAATTTCCAGCCTCATCGCGGGCATCAGGAAGGTACCAGGAACCCCAAAGACAGCGTGAAGGCAGCAGGACTCACCTGGTACGTGGTAACACTCATACAGAAGCGGAGGGTACCAGCCACCAACAAGGCCGTAACACGTCAACACCTGGTACGTCCTCGAAATGTTGCCGTTGACGTAATATCCCAGTGTACACCTGTGCCCATCAGAAGAAAGTTTTCGTATTTATTGTGGGGACAATTTATATTTTCACTTTTTTTTAATATATAATATATACGTATATTAATTGTAGCGAGAGGACGAGAGAGATGTTTTCATACTCACGTATAATTAACTGTAGTTCCCAGTTGAGTGCTGTTACTCCAGGCTTGGGTCATGTTGACAGTTGGCGGGGGAGGCGGCGTCCAGCAGCCTAGCGGGAGACAGGGAGGTGTAAGTCCCTTGTAATCAGACCTGGTGTCGTACACATTTCTGTGTACCATACATGCTTATTTATACGTCAAGTCTCTCGGTCGACAGGTGTATAGAGGTTCTTAAGCCCTTATGGTTTTGGTCAGATCTACATTTTGAAGCTGTATTGAAAATTATTTTTCTAACATTTATGGTTCATTTGGGAAATTTTGATTACCTTCATTGTTGCCATGACAGTGTATAACCCTTGTCACAGTGCCAGTGTCTGCCTCGTCAGTGTCTCGCAGTACCTTGTGTGTGGATCCTTGTCACAGTGCCAGTGTCTGCCTCGTCAGTGTCTCGCAGTACCTTGTGTGTGGACCCTTGTCACAGTGCCAGTGTCTGCCTCGTCAGTGTCTCGCAGTACCTTGTGTGTGGACCCTTGTCACAGTGCCAGTGTCTGCCTCGTCAGTGTCTCACAGTACCTTGTGTGTGGACCCTTGTCACAGTGCCAGTGTCTGCCTCGTCAGTGTCTCCTCGTCAGTGTCTGCCTCGTCAGTGTCTCACAGTACCTTGTGTGTGCTGAGCATATTACTCATATTTATTGATTGTGAGCTACAGTATTATTATTATTGTTCTAGGCTAGGTTATTATTAATATTAATTGTTGTGAGTTAAGATATTGTTAATATTAATTAAATCCTTAACGCTGTTAAAGTGAGCAAGAGATATGCAGGGTGCCAGGAGAAAAAGGGATCCAGGCACCAGTCTATTACTACATCTATACCATTGGTAATACGTACAGTCCCTCAAGTGTCTGGGTCTGGCTGACCTCCCCCCCCACCTCGACCTGACCCCCCCCCCTGTCTTCCCCCTATATAATCACTGGTCCTGTGTATCTCTGTTAAGTTTGATAAAAACCTTTACAAAGAAAATTTTTATTTACAATTATCTTTGCGTTTCTTTACTGATGTTGAATTATGTAAAAATTTACAGGAAAAAGTTACCATCTGAGTGTTGCTTTTATTAATTCTTTATTATTCTACGGCAGATGATCCCTGTCAGCCTGGCCTTTCTGGGGCAGCAAACGACTGACACAACTGAACACAACTTACGCCGTCAACACAGATTTTCCAACTCAGAAAGCAGGAGCGTCTTCCAAGCAGACTAAAGGTAGGGTTTCCCACCGATCTATCATGAGAGAGATACCTGTACTACTATAAGTGAGGTCGTAGTATTGATAACTTTGCTATTAAATCCCAGTGTCTATCCAAATCTTAAATAGCTAAAGCAAAGTATTTTGTCAAAGTTCCTGGCACAAAAAGTTGAAGGTGAGGTTCACAAGGTTATCAGCTGCCTGTCTTGGGATTGAGAGTGAGGACGTTGATGCCTGATCATATTAAGGCGTTTTTTTGGTTTGTGTGCAATGCTCACACACACACACACACACACACACACAGCACCGCTCCTGTGCCAGGTAAGCTACGGGCTCACCATAGCCCGTGCTACTTGGAACTTGTTCCGAGTAGCTGAATCTATAACAGCAACACCGTTTGTGTGCTTGTGTTTATTGTGCGCGCGTGTGCACGGTTTTGACAGGATACAGTGTTGAAATTTCATAAGCTTGATAGTACTTATAATTTGTATGAAATGGCAGATTTCCTCAGTTGAATGTTTTTTCTTAAAATGGCATGTTTCATATTAAACGGCATGGTTTATCTTAAAACGACAGGAATTATCATAAATTGGACGGTTACATGTTAAATTTTAAAGATATATTGCATATTTAAGGCTGAATTGTAAATAAAGAATGTTTCGTAAATTAAAAGGATTTATTGTTTTATGGACAAAATCCATTACAGACGGAATGGATTGTATTAAGAGTGAAATTTGAAGTTCTTTTTTGCCCCTCTCCGGCGTTGACGTACCCGGCTGACAGGTACTCAAGTGCACCATACTCATGACCGGAGTTCGGGATTAACGTAACCTCTCGGTGTAACGTTTAATCTTTCTACTCGTACGGTACTGAGGAAAATGCGGCTACTTCCAGAACTCTCATAACACTAGACAGAAAACGAGATGACTTACCAACGGGACCGTAGAGTTGACAGATGGCCTTGGTGATGTATGTGTTGGTAAGGGTGGTGGTGGTGTTGAGAGTGGAGATGACTGTGAGGCTGGTGATGGTGCCACTTGACACCGTCACAGCCCTCCAGTGGGACGTGGAGGTGACCGTGGAGGAAGTAGTCATGTTTATCACCCCAGCATCCAAGGGGTAGAGCCCTCCGGCCGACCAGTTGCCCCCCCTGACGGGAGAAGGCCAGGGTGAGGAAGGGCGGATGAAAGAATAACAACATGAAGCAATCAGGGAGTAAGAACAGAGGATGACAAGACAGAAACGATAAAAGACAAGAACATTTGGAAAGGATAAATGAAAGAACTAAACGATGGAAGGAAAAAAATAATGGAGTAAAGAGTGAAGTAAAAAGAACGGAAGAAACAAAAGAATGAAAGAAAGGAAGGAGATGAGAAATGTGGAGGCAGAGAGGATAGGCAAGAATGAATTCGAGAAACGTAGAATGAAATAAAGTGTTGTAGGGAGGAACACCAAAAATGGAAAGGAAGAAAACAGGAAAGAAGGAATACACAAAAAATGAAGGGAAGGAGGAAAAATGAAGGTACGAGCTAACGAAGTAAACATTAATACAAAATATAAAGAGAGTCAGGTACGGAGGAAGAGAAGTCAAGTATGAGGTGAAAGCAGGGGAGGCAGTATAAAGCACTAGTATTGTTTTCGTTATGATATATAACTAGGATAACGACACAGGTAATTCCCTCCCCCCCGGTACTCACACGTCATTAATACCAATCATTGCGCTTCCTGAATAGATTCCTCCAGTGATTCCTGTAGAGCTGATGTTTAGCTGTAAAAAAGTTAAATATATGTGAGTATTATATGTGAGCACATGAATCACAGGTCACGCATATAACTAACATATATATAACTCGTACAAACTCCGAAACTTGTCTTTATATTTAGAAAACCTCGCCTTCTGTATATTCAAACTAAGTACACTTTGGTAAATGGGTCACCTTTCAGACATTTCTTGCGACCCTTGAGACATACCCTGGCCATGAATTGGACGGTGTCTACCGTCTGGGGATAGGCCAGTGACGCCTCGTCTCCTTCACATGTTGACTGAGCCGCCACAATCCCGCCCGCCACGTTGACGCGAAGCTTGTAACAGTTACCTCTGTAGGGGGTGTAACCCGCAGGGCACACGGCTGTTACCACGGCGCCAGAAAGACAGGAAGAAGGTATTTATAGATGTAAGCATATTTATCGGTTGCAGGTTATTTCGAACACAACTGGTTGGTACAGGAGAGACGACTCCGGATTCCTGCTATTAGGCAAAGAGGTTTCCTATTACATAGCTCGTGGTAAGCCTTCTAGTTTTCTCTGGACCACTGCTCGCCAATCAGTTGACAACTAGGTCCCTAATTACTGCTAGGTGAACAGATGCGAATAGTTAAGGATTGGTACCCAGATAATCCACCTTGGATAGGACTCCAACAACATCGTTCGTGACATGCGAGGTGAATGTTTTACCACTCCACCACCAGGACCTGTCACTACCACTACACCACCACCAGGATCTGTCACTACCAGGACCTGTCACTACCACTACACCACCACCAGGATCTGTCACCACCAGGACCTGTCACTACCACTACACCACCACCAGGATCTGTCACCACCAGGACCTGTCACTACCACTACACCACCACCAGGACCTGTCACTACCACTACACCACCACCAGGATCTGTCACTACCAGGCCCTGTCACTACCACTACACCACCACCAGGACCTGTCACTACCACTACACCACCACCAGGATCTGTCACCACCAGGACCTGTCACTACCACTACACCACCACCAGGACCTGTCACTACCACTCCACCACCAGGACCTGTCACTACTACTACACCACCACCAGGACCTGTCACTACCACTACACCACCACCAGGATCTGTCACCACCAGGACCTGTCACTACCACTACACCACCACCAGGACCTGTCACTACCACTCCACCACCAGGACCTGTCACTACCACTACACCGCCACCAGGACCTGTCACTACCACTCCACCACCACCAGGACCTGTCACTACCACTCCACCACCAGGACCTGTCACTACCACTACACCGCCACCAGGACCTGTCACTACCACTCCACCACCAGGACCTGTCACTACCACTACACCACCACCAGGACCTGTCACTACCACTACACCACCACCAGGACCTGTCACTACCACTACACCACCACCAGGATCTGTCACCACCAGGACCTGTCACTACCACTCCACCACCAGGACCTGTCACTACCACTACACCACCAGGACCTGTCACTAGCAGTGCAATCAGAACAAGACATTACTAGTGGAAACAGGGCCTGACAGTACAGGTAACACGGAGGCACCATAACCCTTACACCTGGTGGCAGTCGGTGGATGCTCCAGGCCGGGCCAACTGGTAGTTACCTACAACCAGGAAGGACTTTGGAGTCTTATAAATAAACCTGTAAGTTGTATAAGTTATATAGGTAATTTCTGAAGGCATATGGTAGTTGTCCTAGAAACAGAGTTGGGAATGTATGGCTGTCTAGGACTATTGGGGGTCAGAAGCCGATTAAACAAATATTGCTAGAGTATTGCATCATTCAACATGGAACGCTTTTATAGAATTAAGTGTGTATAGATTATAGTGTTCCATTATGTACAAAAAGCCTGTAGCTTTTGCCATTTCGTTATAAGCTGCTGTTAGTGGAATTGGTTGGCATTTAAAGTGTTATAAAATTAAAGTGGAAATGGAATTCTGTGAGGAAAGTTGAATAAGGATGAGCGGTGGCAGGAGAACAGTTGTAAATATGATTCCTTTGATAGGTAAGTGAGTGGCAAAACATGGAGCAGAAATTAAAGAAAACCTTATAGGGTATAAGAAGACTTCTCGAGATGGTAGTAATGACACATAATAATACTCTTAAATTATATTACATAAATAACAGGAGCATTATAAAAAATAAAATTAATGAATTTAGTGGTCTTGGATGCACCACCACCAATCATGTCAACTAGAGCACCAATCACAGCTTATCCAGCACCACTAATTCACCATAAGCACAAAGCCACAACCCACTCTCGCTCCCTCCCCCCCTCCCTCCCCCCATCACACCAGCACCAGCACACAGTTCACACCTCCAGTTCCACCACCAAGAACACCATCAGCGCCACCAACACCACCAATACCAATCACATCATCACCATTACCACCAATCACTAAAACATTTATTTTATAGTTATATAAGATATACCTGGGACCTGAAACAAGACCATTGGACTTACGTGGTAGCTGACAGATGTAGCGGAAGTCTGTGCTGGTACAGTCGCCGGCCTTGTACTGGCCCGCCTGGTTCACCACCACGCACCTCGGCCCTCCTGACACCTGCAAACATTATCACTTTATTTGGGGCGAATTAATTCTAAGATAATATTGTTTAGCTGTTGTTGGTCATAATTTACTTCTTGGTAGCCAGACGTGGAGCTCAGAAGTGTTCAGCTTGCGGTGGTTGACCTTGACTGGGGTCAATAATGTGTCCCACAATGACTGGAAGTCAAATACCTTGTCTTGACCAACAACTGGGAGGAATCCTTTTAAAAGTCAATCTCATCGACTTTAACATATCGGAACCTTTATTATTTAATGATCGATAACCAGGCGGTTGAGAGGTCGTCCTCTGCCGCCCAGGAGGAGCAGGACGAAGGTGACCCCAAGCCTCGTCCCCTTGCCCGATGTTAACATCTTCCCTGGGATTCCAAGCTGCCCAACCACTTGGGCTTGACGGTAGAGCGACGGTCTCCTTTCATGCAGCTTGGCGTTCAATCCCCGATCAAGTGGTTGGGTACCATTCCTTTCCCCGTCCCATCCCAAATCCTTATCCTGACCCCTTCCAACTGCTGTATAGTCGTGGTGGCTTGGCGCTTTTCCCTGATAGTTCCCTTCCCTTGTACTCACTCGACCAGGCCTTGGAGGCCTGTTCGAGGACCGGGCCGCGGGAACGCTATGCCCCGAAATCATCTCAAGATAACCTCAAGGTACTCCAAGCTCGTACTGCCATCTTTATTTCTGCCTTCCACAAGGTTCTCAAAAAAGATAAATTCTTTTGTTAGCAAGAATGTTATTGACGGATGCTGCGGGTCGGCCGCTAATGTTAGGAAATTGGCTAATGGTAATATTCTTGTGACTACCAGAAGATACCTGCGTCGACAACGTTGAAGTTATTGGTATCAAATATGTAACATTTGCTTAATGGAGAGTGAGAGACTTTCTTCGCTTAAATTGACGAGCCTCTACGGTCGTGGGTTAAAGGTTGGCGACGATGGCAACCTTCTGACGTTGGGTGTCCTTCCCCTGGTTATGTGATGTAAGAATTTAATTGGTGACGGGGCTCGATGTGGTACATATCACCGGTGGACAACCCGTCCTCTTAAAAATATCACTTTTCACTCGTATGCGCGCTATGGCCAAATTTGGACGTAATTTGAAATGAAATCGACTCACAAAAGTGGCGTACTGTTCCGTTTTCTGTTTGAGTCGTCCGGCTTACTCGGCAAGCTTAGAAAAGGATTCTTTCCATTAACGTTTTTCATACCATTTTGAAACTTTATGAGAATTTCCTGCCCACCTAACCTATCAGAGGACCCTTAACTTACTGTTGTTGAAAAAAAAAAATCCCAAATTTATATTAATTTTTTTTCATTTTCAAATTACGTCCATATTCGGCCATACGGGCAAACGGCCAAAAGTGACGTTCTTTTTAAGAGGACAGGTTGCAACTATCACACTCCACCGTCAACACCAGTCACACTCCACCACCACTACCGCTAGCACCACTAATTACACACTGCCACCAGCGGTCACACCACCACCATCACCAACACTACAAGTATCAGGGCAACTTACAGGAGGACATACGCCGACACAGGTGGTACTCTGGGGCAGAGCTGGTTGGATGGAGTTCGTGTTACTGGAAAATGAAGAGAACACAAGTAACATATTTGCCTCAAAGACGTTGTGACCAACACACCACCTACCCCCTAAGATGTCACCTGGAGAGTCCAGAACTATAAGTAGGGCAAGACGTGTATGTAATATTTCAGCACTGCGAAAAATATATAGTGATCTGGCTAAGACAATGTTGATTGCTTTAACAGCATGGCAGAAAGCGACACAGTCCCACCAGAGTGAGGTGTTCATGACAAAACATGTTCGGCAGCTGTGCTTGGCGATAAAGAATGGCAACATACTTGACGATGTGAGCTGTGAGATAGAAGTCCGTTGAATTCAGGTTCTGCAGGTCGGTGGCGTTCAAGACAACGGCCAGAGAGGCGTTCACCTGAGAACACCTGAGGGCGTGGAAAGTTTTACCTGTCATATACATCATTAATGATATCAATATTATCATTAGCAGCTGGAAAATGTGCGCATCGTGTAGACCCCAAAGAATTCACGCCCGTATTTTCAGCGTGGCGCAGGACTTGGTCCTGGGTACCAGACATGACAGCGTGGAGCAGGACTTGGTCCTGGGTACTGGAATACGGCTGGCCTCCCCCTCTCGGTCGCCAGGCACCAACGGTTGTGTACCGGACATAATTTAACACAATGCATGATAATATAAAAAGTAATTTCAGTGTAATAACATTAAAAAGTGACTTTCTTCTTTGTGGCAATTTAATAAATTACTTATTTTTGCATAATAACATTAGAGGTCTCTTGCTTCGGGATGCTAAGATAATTGGTGTGTCAGGATAATTAGGTAACTTGTATGAGGGCAATGAAAGTACTTTGCTTTTTCATATCTCAGTCAATCACTCAGAAACACGGACAAAAACAAGACAGTAATAAAGACAGTCAACAAAAACACTGCCAAAAAGTCAGAGAGCTAAAAGACGGGTAGCCAAAAACAAGACAGTAATAAAGACAGTCAACAAAGACACTGCCAAAAAGTCAGAGAGCTAAAAGACGGGTAGCCAAAAACAAGAGCACATAGAATGTGTGACATGACTTAACAAATACAGTATAGCCTAAGCGTAAAGAAAGAACAGAACAGAAAACTAGTAACAGTTTGCACGGTAACATGACGAGGGTTCGGACCCCACTCACCGTAGAGCTGCTCCCGAGATGCCCATCACGGCCCTATCCATAGACACGTTGTAGCAGGTGTTGGCGTCGCTCCACTGCTGGAAGGTGTCCGGGCAGCGCACTGAGAAGTGTAAATACACGTCAATCCCTACTAGAACACGGGGAACCCACGTCAATCCCCACTAGAACACGGGGAACCCACGTCAATCCCCACTAGAACACGGGGAACCCATGTCAATCCCCACTAGAACACGGGGAACCCACGTCAGTCCCCACTAGAACACGGGGAACCCACGTCAGTCCCCACTAGAACACGGGGAACCTCTTCAATAAACATTAGAGCACGAGGGTCTCCCGTCAATCCTCACTAGCAAATCATATCAGCAAATTTTCTGATATATGAACAACATTTATTTTTGTCCAATATAAAATTACGTTATTTTATCATCTACGTCTATTTTTGTATATAGAAAAAAATCATTATTTTCGAGATAAACAGAAATCCACGCTCTGGATTTGTATAAATTCAATAATTATGTGCATTTGTGTTAATCATTGATGCCTATGATCATTGTTTTGTGTTAATCATTGAAGCCTATGATCATTGTTTTGTGTTAATCATTGAAGCCTATGATCATTGTTTTGTGTTAATCATTGAAGCCTATGATCATTGTTTTGTGTTAATCATTGAAGCCTATGATCATTGTTTTGTGTTAATCATTGAAGCCTATGATCATTGTTTTGTGTTAATCATTGAAGCCTATGATCATTGTTTTGTGTTAATCATTGAAGCCTATGATCATTGTTTTGTGTTAATCATTGAAGCCTATGATCATTGTTTTGTGTTTATCATTGAAGCCTATGATCATTGTTTTGTGTTAATCATTGAAGCCTATGTTCATTGTTTTGTGTTAATCATTGAAGCCTATGATCATTGTTTTGTGTTAATCATTGAAGCCTATGATCATTGTTTTGTGTTAATCATTGAAGCCTATGTTCATTGTTTTGTGTTAATCATTGAAGCCTATGATCATTGTTTTGTGTTAATCATTGAAGCCTATGATCATTGTTTTGTGTTAATCATTGAAGCCTATGATCATTGTTTTGTGTTAATCATTGAAGCCTATGATCATTGTTTTGTGTTAATCATTGAAGCCTATGTTCATTGTTTTGTGTTAATCATTGAAGCCTATGATCATTGTTTTGTGTTAATCATTGAAGCCTATGATCATTGTTTTGTGTTAATCATTGATGCGTGTGATTATGTTTCATGCAGTCTCTCTTCAGAAGTCAGGTGAAGGGGTATACAGAACAGGGGGATACACACACCAGGAGGTGTAACCCGCTTTTCAAAATGATAATTTCTTTGGTTAGCAAGAATGTTATACAGAGTTTCTTCCTATGTTATACAGAATATACTATGTATACTCAGTTTACTTTCATTCTTGACAGAGGTTAGGACTAAAGAATACTTTAGTCGTGATTTTAGACCTTAAGCCCAGCACCAAGCCATGCGGAATTTTATACAGTATAGGGGAAGGCTGTTCAGGGTAGGGAATGGCTGTACAAGCAGGGGGATAGCTGTACTGGGCAGAGGAGGGATGTACAGGGTAGGGAGAAGATTGTACAGGTGCAGGGAAAAGGTTGTATAGGGGCAAGGGGATGTTATAAAGGACAAGAGGAAGGTTGCACAGGACAAGGTAAAGGCTGGACAGGACAGATGAAAGGTCAGCACTTACATTGACAGGGCAGAGTGAGATTTCTGCTCCAGACAAGGTCGCCGCTGCCAGGCACGCCTTGACAGGTGCTGACGCCCTGTGTAGTGTAGGGTCCTCCTGTGGGGCCCTCCATCCTGTACTCTCTCAGACACTGGTAGGAGATGTTGGCTCCCGGGGCGCGAGATTGTGACACGTTGGCCAACATATAGTAACTGTTAGGCTGGTAGGGCAGACTCATCACGTTAATGACCGGACAGTTGATGCCTGCAGATGAGAGTTTAGCGTAAATATTATACTTAGCTTTATTTTATTGTGTAATATTGTGTAAATAGGTTGTAAATCAAGTATATAAAGTCAGGGAGCCAAGCATCAGTAACTAACACTTGCATTAGCCATAAGTTGTAAGAGCAACAGGTATCATAGATAACTTTGAAATCGAGACTGACCAACTAGAGAGAATTCAATTTGAATTCACCAATCATAGGGCTGTACCCGCAACCCGTCCTCTTAAGAAATCGTCGTATTAGGGGAAGGATATATATATATATATATATATATATATATAAGGATATATACTCTACCTATAACCGAAATTTGTCGTACAAGAAAATAGTAGCGGCTCGCAAAATTGACATACTGTCCCGTTTTCCGTTTTGGGTTCTCTGGTAGGTTAGGATAAGGACACTTTAGTACGACACTTCCTTGACGTTGGGAAACCTTAGGAGGACGGACTGGTACCCGACCATTACGAACATGTAAACAGGAACCACACAGTTTGGATCATAGAGATTCAATGGTACTTCCAGCACGATTAGAACAGGTGTGACGAACTGTATGCTACTGCAGTTGGAAATGTTTATCAAGTGATTTCGAACACGTGGCAGGTCTTGAGCTGGGTCGTAAGGACGCCCGTCTAGTGGAAGAGCCTCGCAACCCTACCTCACCTCTCACTTTATTGTTAAAAATAATATGTGTCGTGATGCTTCATCCCATGATGCTGTACCGTAACAGTACTGTATCCCATCTTGCTACATCGCAATGGTACAGCATCCCATGATGCTGTACCGTAACAGTACAGCATCCCATGATGCTGTATCGTAATAGTACAGCATCCCATGATGCTGTATCGTAACAGTACAGCATCCCATGATGCTGTATCGTAACAGTACAGCATCCCATGATGCTGTATCGTAACAGTACAGCATCCCATGATGCTGTATCGTAATAGTACAGCATCCCATGATGCTGTATCGTAACAGTACAGCATCCCATGATGCTGTATCGTAACAGTACAGCATCCCATGATGCTGTATCGTAACAGTACAGCATACCATGATGCTGTATCGTAACAGTACAGCATCCCATTATGCTGTATCGTAACAGTACAGCATCCCATGATGCTGTATCGTAACAGTACAGCATCCCATGATGCTGTATCGTAATAGTACAGCGTCCCATGATGCTGTATCGTAACAGTACAGCATCCCATGATGCTGTATCCTAAAAGTACAGTTTCCCATGACACTATACCAATATTATAGCATCACATGATGCTGTATCCTAATACTACAGCATTCCATGATACTGTAGCATTATTACACAGTGTCCAGTTTGCATATAATTCGTATCAGTGTATAATGTGGTCATATAAACAAGTGTCCAGTATAATGTTTCAGTATACTGTATTACAGAAAATATGTACCCAATGAAAAAGATTGCAAATAAATTTGTTATTGTTAAGCAAAAATAATAACCACATGTAATGGTGTAAAATATGGTTACATGGAAATTATTACATTTTGTATATACTCAATTATGTCTTCATGTTGACCAGACCACACACTAGAAATTGAAGGGACGACGACGTTTCGGTCCGTCCTGGACCATTCTCAAGTCGATTGACATTCTCAAGTCAAGTCACAATCGACTTGAGAATGGTCTAGGACGGACCGAAACGTCGTCGTCCCTTCAATTTCTAGTGTGTGGTCTGGTCAACATACTTCAGCCACGTTATTGTGACTCATCGCCTGCATGTCTTCATGGTCTGTTATTGGTCATTTGGGATAATGTGTTGTTCTTGAAGACGGTAACATCACCTTGACGAGAGAGAAAGAACGATTGTACACTTGTAATGGAAATATTCTTTGCGATTTTTTGGTATGATACTCGTGGCTAGATGGATTCTTGGCCGGCCTATAAAGCATAAACATATTTAACATTAGAGGCGATAAAGGATATCACTTATGAAATTGAAATGGAGATGACAGTAAAGGTGCTAATGGAGATGACAGTAAAGATGCTAATGGAGATGACAGTAAAGATGCTAATGGAGATGACTGTAAAGATGCTAATGGAGATGACTGTAAAGATGCTAATGGAGATGACAGTAAAGATGCTAATGGAGGTGGCAGTAGAGATGCTAATGGAGATGACTGTAAAGATGCTAATGGAGATGACTGTAAAGATGCTAATGGAGATGACAGTAAAGATGCTAATGGAGATGACAGTAAAGATGCTAATGGAGATGACAGTAAAGATGCTAATGGAGATGACAGTAAAGATGCTAATGGAGATGACAGTAAAGATGCTAATGGAGATGACAGTAAAGATGCTAATGGAGATGACAGTAAAGATGCTAATGGAGATGACAGTAAAGATGCTAATGGAGATGACAGTAAAGATGCTAATGGAGATGACAGTAAAGATGCTAATGGAGATGACAGTAAAGATGCTAATGGAGATGACAGTAAAGATGCTAATGGAGATGACTGTAAAGATGCTAATGGAGATGACTGTAAAGATGCTAATGGAGATGACAGTAAAGATGCTAATGGAGGTGGCAGTAGAGATGCTAATGGAGGTGGCAGTAGAGATGCTAATGGAGGTGGCAGTAGAGATGCTAATGGAGGTGGCAGTAGAGATGCTAATGGAGGTGACAGTAGAGATGACGTAGGTGACAGTACAGGCTGGAACTAGTACCTGAATCATATTCTTGTGGTCTCACCCGCATGGATATGGAATTGACAGTGATGCTGTGGTTGGACAGCGGCCCCCAGTTGAATTGGGTCACACACGCCTGTAAATAGGTTATTAATAACTATTAATAAATGACACTTTAGATAGTGATGATGATCACAGCGACATTTCCAATGACGATAACATAATAATTGTGGTGTCCTCAAAACCTTCCAGAGAAACAAGTGTGTCCCAGTGTGCCCAGTTGTAATGTTCACCAACATAGTGTAACCCCCTACACTATAGTACCACTACACCCCAGGGAAGTGTACCACAGGGTAGGGTATCCAAGGGTATACCGCAATGTAATGTGCCCGTGGATAGTGCACCCCAAGATAGTACACCCCTAAATAGTGCACCCCAAGATAGTACACCCCTAAATAGTGCACCCCAAGATAGTACACCCCTAAATAGTGCACCCCATGATAGTCCACCCCCTAGATACTCCACCCCTAGATAGTCTACCCCGGGAGTAGGGGTACCCCAGGGTTCCCTAGGGGAGACAGAAACCGTTAAACTACAGACCCGTATCACTTACAAGTATCCCTTGCAAGCTGCTAGAGAGCAGGCGAGTAGTTTGGATTATGCTTATGGCCCCAAGTGATAAACTCCTGCTCAAACTAGAGAAGCAGGCTGGCATATTTAGAAGAGTCCTAAGGTGGATCAGTGAGTATATCTCAGGAAGGAAACAAAGGGTTACAGTGAGATCAGAGACATCAGACTGGAGAGAGGTTACGAGTGGAGTACCACAAGGGTCGGTTTTAAGGCCCATCCTGTTTCTAATGTCACTGACCTGACAGAGGAAATTGACTCCTTTATATCATTGCAGATGATGCAAAACTAATGCGAAGAATCAGGGACAGGGATAGATTGTCACGCATTACAAACGGATTTGAACACTTCAGAAGTGGTTTGATAAAAATGTCTGCTAGAATTTAACCAAGTAAATGCAAAGTTATGACAATTGGAACGGGAGTATGGGAGTACAGCAGTATAGGATGAAGTAAAAAGTAATTTTTCAATCAGAAAAGGAGAAAGACCTGAGAGTGGATATAACATTAACTGTGATACTAGAAGCCCACATTAGCAGAATAACAACAGCCGCATGAGGCATACTGGCCAACATCGTTGTATCCTTCGGAAACCAGGAGAAAGGGGCTTTCCGAGCCCTATTTACAGCGAAGGTGAGACCCACACTTGAATATACATCCCCAACGTGGAGCAATTACCTAAAAAAAAGAAGAAACTAGAAAAGGTCAAAAGATGTGCAGCGAGACTCATTTCTGAGTTTAAAGAATTAAGCTATGAGGAAAGACTGAGAGAACTGGCCCTTTCCAGACTGGAGGAAAGGAGAGATGGAGGGCATGATAAAAAATATAAGATCCTAAGGGGAATTGACAAATTTTGAAAAAACAGCATTTTTTTTAAAAGCTAGGAACAGGTGAACTAGGTCATGGATAGAAACTAGAGAAGTAAATGAATCGTAGAGACGTCAACAGAACTTTTTCGGTGTTAGAGAATAAGTAGAATAGGTTAGACGTAGAAGCCTCAATTTGATTCAGAGTTTTAAACGTAAACGAAGAGTCACAATAACGTGGTTGAAGAAATGATGACCAAACCACAACTATAAAGATGGAGAGGCGACGACGTTTCGGTCCGTCCTGGACCATTATCAAGTCGACCTGATAATGGTCCAGGACGGACCGAAACGTCATCTCTTCTCCAGCTTCTGATGTGTGGTTTAGTTATCATTTAAACGTAAATATGATAAAAATTTGAAAAATCAGTATTTGCATTAATCTAAGAACGTTCAGAAGGCGGGGCATGGAGACTAGCTCGACACTGCAAGCGCATCAAGGTGAGTACACACACACACAATGTACATACATCTCTTCCCTATAATTACAACAAAATTCTGAATAATCACACATGAACCCCATAACTCCGTGACATCAACCTTCCGTGGTAACTCGGAACAACTTCAATTAAATATTGAAATTACCCCCGTCCGCTGTTTGAAATTGAATGTTGTTTGTACTAACCGCGTTTCCATTGCAAAACGCTTTCCGACTCGTGGCGTCTGCCGGCCACCACCACTGGCTGTTGGTCCCACTGTCGAGCTCGAAGTTGTACCCAAGGCTGAGGCTGAACCCGTCACCTGGAGCCAGACAGATCAAGTGTTACACGAAGTAAGGGCCAAGTGCACCACTGGCGGAACACTGGTGCAGGTATATGTTGGGTCTTGTAATGGAGATGGAGTGTTTATGGTGGGGGTTGTGGTGGTTTGTTTATGTTGGGTGTTGTGGTGGTTTGTTTATGGTGGGTGTTGTGGTGGTTTATGTTGGGTGTTGTGGTGGTTTGTTTATGTTGGGTGTTGTGGTGGTTTGTTTATGGTGAGTGTTGTGGTGGTTTGTTTATGTTGGGTGTTGTGGTGGTTTGTTTATGTTGGGTGTTGTGGTGGTTTATGTTGGGTGTTGTGGTGGTTTGTTTATGGTGGGTGTTGTGGTGGTTTGTTTATGGTAGATAATATTGTAGCAGAGTTGGATACACTCACCAGCGTTGCCGTAGATGTTGCCTACACTTAGAAGAGTGTAGGTTGGGGCGGGTCCAATAGTGACGTTGTCGTAGATGGCGTACCATGATGCCGAGGAAGAGGAAGACATCATAGTGAACTGTCGGTGAGAATGATATTTTTGTTGACTTTTAGCAAAGTTACAGAGACACGCACACACGAGAATTAACTGTTTCACCAACACTTAAGAATACTTAGTTGTTATTTTGTAGATGCCCATTGGGGTAAGGAGAAATTTGTAGGTAACATTTCACCAGCTGCTTGACAGTTGAGAGGCGGGACTAAAGAGCTAAAGCTCAACCCCCGCAAGCACATCTAGGTGAGTACATGATTAGCGTGCATCATTACATACACACAAGTAGTAATTGAGCGTAATTTGGATCATAGCAAAAATAACTATTTTTAAATTGCTCTCAATTATATATTGTTATATGAATATAACATTAAATTGCTCCCAATTAACATATGTACTATATAACTTATAATTAAAAATTTAATTGATTTAAATTGTGTGTTGAGATAGATACCAGTGAAGAAACCTACTGCAATGCAGTAGTGCTTAAATAAAGTTTTATTATATTTTTTATTTATATATATATACAAGAAGTTACATTGGTGCATATGAGCGCCATATTGGTGCATATGAGGTGCATATTGGTTATATCATGCTATAAGAGTGCATAGCATGATGTGTTCCCAGCAAATAATATAGGTTTAAGCATGTTAGAGACCTTAGGCAGATCACTGATGTATATAAGAAATAGGAGGGTCCTAGGAAGCTGCCTTATGGCACCCCTACGGTTAATGGTAGAGCGGAAGAGGTTTTATCATTCATGGCTACATATTGGTCTCTGTCACTAAGATATGATTGGACATAGTTCAGGGCAAGGCCTTGGATTCCATAATGATGGAGTTTTAAGTAAGAAGTAGTTATGGTTAACAATATCAAACGCCTTTCTCAGGTCAATGAAGAGTCCAATCGGAAACTCACTTTTGTGAGGACTGAGTAGATCAAGTCAAGCAGACTAACAATTGCATCGTTGGTACTCTTTTGGGAGCGAAAGCTAAACTGACAGGGACTTAGTATGTTGAATTTTATGAGATAGGAATAGAGCTGTTTGTAAATAATTTTTTTTTAATATTTTTGATAATATAGGTAGATTAGATATTGGTCTGTAATTGTTTATGTCTGCCGGATTGCATCCTTTATGAACTGGCGTTACTCTTGTTTTTTAAGGATGTCAGGGAAGGCATGACACTCTAGAGATTTATTAAACAGCAAAGCTATGGGTGGCGCAAGGGTATGGGAGGCGCTCTTGTATACCATGGATGGTATTTCACTAATGTTCCCAGTTTTGGTTTTTAATGAGTGAATGATGGACACAACATCTGTAAGGCTGACTGGTGAAAGGAGAAGAGAGTATGGGTAGCTGCCTGAAACATATGTGGTAACATGTTTCTGAGTCTGGGATTTTTCGGGCAAGGTTAGCACCAATCGATGAGAAGCTTTTAAATTCAGTTGCTGTTTCTAGATCTGTTGCAGGTGTATAACCATCCTTGGAGATTTTTATCTAGTTATATGAATGGTGTTTAGCTCCTAGGATGTTAGAGATGTGCTTTTCATGTTGCCTTTTGCTTCTTTGAATCTATTCTCATAATAGGAAAGTTTAGCTTTTCTTATTATACTGGTAAGCACTGATGAGTACCTCTTAACTACTTCCTTTGCAACTAGGCCAATCTTAAGTTTTTTTTTTTCATATTCATGTTTCCTGTCGATTGCTTTGAGTATGCCATTTGTGAGCCAGGGATTATTTAACCTTTTGCCAGTTACTTGCTTGGTGAGGAGAGGACAATGAGTATTGTAAAGCCTTAGAATTTTTTAAAGGAAGAGGTTAATTAATGAATTTATATCTTGTATATTATTAAATTCAGATTCCCAGTTTATATTGTGGAGTGCATTTGTGAGATTGCCTATTGCTGCTTCACTGTGTAACCTAAAGGTAAGTTTCTTGTTAGCTGGTGATGTTATGTCCATGTTCGCTACGAGGAAGGTAGGATAGTGGTCAGTTGTTCTGTCAGTGATTATACAAGATGTAAGGGGAAGCTGTTATGTTAGCCCATAAATGATCCAAGGTAGTAGCGGATGTTTGAGTGAATCAGGTGGGCCTGGTGATTGTGGGGATTAGCATACAGGTGTTCATGCTGTTTAGGAAATAGTCGACTTGAGGGCTATTTTGTTGACAAGATGAAGGAAAGACCCAATGTACTCAGGTATATTGATATTAAAGGTTCGGATGTAACCTATGTTCTTTCTGAAGGCGTTGTAAAAAAAAATGTTGTCAACATTTTATACAGCACAAGAATGAAGTCCAGACTTGACAATGATAAAAATAACTCAAGTTTAGTCAGTAATAACTGACTAAACTTAAAGACAAGTGTTGGGAAAGAAAAACAGATAAGTGAATGGTAAACTCACATGGACGGCGCGCTAACAGGGTGTTGAAACAGAAAATGAAGAAACGTGAATGGTAGACTCACCTGGACTACGTGCGGACGTGGTGTTCCATCCAAGTTGAGAGTCAGATAAGCTAGGTTGCTTATGCCTGTTGATGGACACCCGCAGAAAGACAACCATTAACACCCAGGTTAACACACATGTTTATATCTGAACCCATAGTTTAGGGGTCAAGCAGGCATTAGTACCCATAGTTAAGGAGCATGGTGGGTATAAGCAAAGAAAGGAGTCAGTTTGGCATTATTGAATCTATTCTCATAATAGGAAAGTTTAGCTTTTCTTATTATACTGGTAAGCACATATATATTCATATATATATATATATATATATATATATATATATATATATATATATATATATATATATATATATATATATATATATATATATATATATTTATATATATATATATTGGTAGCAGTCTTTCTTATAAACATATGATGTAGAATATGACCGAAAGGGTAAGATTAATAATTCTAATATGAATCTTCTCAACATTTCTTACGTTCTTCTTCACTGTCGAGGGTAATTGATAAATTAACTCTCCAAATTTCATTCTTCATTTCTGGTCTGACGCCTGAATGCGTTTCGCAATGCTTATTACATTTTCAAAGACTTAGTTTACACATAAAATACATCATACTTATACTCGTTTTGGGTGAGGTGATATGGCACAAAAGTTTTGGGTGAGGTGACAGCATATGCCAGAACACGAAACAACGGAAATAAATTGGGTATGAAAACATAAGAATGGAAGTAACTGCAGGAGGCCTAGGCCCATATTTCCTTTTGCTGCTTCTGTGTTGGTTCGGGATCTTGAAGTGGGTAGAATAGAGTTTGGCATAACAGATAGCAAGCTACACACACTTAAATATAACCCGTCCCCCCATGGCCTTCCTCGTGCCACCGTGATAGGTGGTGGAAAACAACTCTAACTAAGCTGTGTATTGGCCAAATGCGCTTAACTCACGAGCACTTAATGAAACAACGCCCTGCTCCTTATTGTCCGAACTGCATTGCCCTGCTTACAGTCGTGCACCTCTTCGGAATGACTTCCTGATTTTCAGGATGATAGTAGGACTTGCTTTTCCAATGTCCTTCCTGGTCACTTATCCCTGGATAGAATCCTAGGTGGTTCCAGTGTCTTTGATATTGCTCGCATTATGTCATTTTGCTCTCTTATTGGCCTCCTGTGTCGTGTAGGACGTTCTGAATATCCTACGACACAGAAGGTGCTGAACAGTCTTCCCAACTTGGTGTCTTCATTTGATGATTACTTATATACTCGAAGAAGTAACAAATGCAGTTATATGTTAATAAATGTTAATAAATTTAAAATTTTAACCTTGGGAAAGAAGAGTGGTACTAAGTACCTGGCCAGTACCTTACATCCTGGTTGATCTGATTGCAAAGTAGATATGGTAATACTGAGTAGAGAAGATCTTAAATCAGGGCAGCAGTATATTAAGTATGTCATTGTTACAAGAAGGTACAATGGGTTGTGTTAATACAGATTATGGTGATAAATTGATACATTCTTGCCACTAATAGGCATTTAACTTTTCAATGAAGTGAATAGCTTTATTCATAAATGTAACGTACTAGGTATTTACATTTATAATTGCTTTCAACGTGAACTTACAGTAAACAACATTTAACATAAAGAATAACACTAGACTTATGAAACAGTTATTGACAAACACTATATTGCTTTAAAAACGAGACATAAAGGTATTTACATTTATGAGAAGCATTTTTGACCAATGTTCTATTAAATTAAATATATTTCTTGAAAACATAAACCAAAGGACGACAAACATGTATGACGCTCAGAAGGGATTTTGCTTGTGAACACGACAAAATTTCAAATTCAAATTCAAATGTTTATTTAGGTAAAGTACATACATACAAGGTGTGATACAAACATTGATGGATTTATAGATAGAGCTAGTACATACAATGCCTAAAGCCACTATGACGCAAAGCGACACGTAAACTATCTATGTGCTGTGGAGAAGAACACAATGAACTTACCGATAAAGTACGGGACAGTGAGTGCTGACGAGGCTGGGTTACCACTCTGGTATTGGGCTGAGCTTAAGCTGGTAGGTGAGGAGATCTTGAGGGTAGTGGTCCACACGCCGCCAGAGTCCACCTCACACCACACCTGCACAAACATTCACACGGCGACTTTGAAGAGTGCCTCGTGTGGAGGCAAGTCTTACTACATAGTGGCATAGTCCTTAACACTATTCCGCCATTATAAGTCATACTCTCAGTACCACTGACATAAATGACTGTAAAGCAATATTTAATTTAATTATATTATGTTAATTTATGTGATAAGCTGTCATTATAATATTTATTTCATTTATTTCTAAGGCAAAACAAAAAATTGCGGCTGAATATATTTCAATTTTCATTTTCGTTAAAACCCCACGTGGCTTGAATTGACCTATTAGAGGACAAGAATGTAAAGTGGTATATGGCTGTGATCCTAGAGTTCAGCCAATGAGAAGGAACCTAGCGACAAAATGCACCAGCGCTCGTGGACATGATTGGCTGAGGTGGCGTTCACTTGCCTGTGAGATTTTGAAGGAGCCAACCTCGACCTAACCTGACCCTGGTTAGACTAAATACCTTGTGGGTATCAAGACCGTCTATATCTATATTTATAAAATAGAATGTCTGTGTGTCCAAGGTAGGAGGCCAGATGCTTTGGGCTAGTTTCACCCAACTTTCCAAGTTGACACATGGGAGTATGGAAGAGACATAGGCCAGTCGGGGTCCGCCCCAGTGTCACCCTTTAGGAAATATAGGCACCAATAGCGATACCCTGTCATTTTCATGAAGCCTGATATCGGGGATTGGTTTTTTGTTAAGCTTTTATCTGTTCTTCAGAACACTATAATGTTAATTTTTAAGAAAGAGGGAAGGAGAGAAGGGATGTTAGGGAGAGAGGGGTTGAGAAAGGTGGAGAGGGGGAAAGTGAGAGAAGAGGAAAGATTGAAAGAGAAGGAAAGAGAGGTGGAGAAAGTTAAAGAGATGGGGAGAGGAGAGAAGAGAGGGATAAGAGAAGAAAGTGAGTGAGGATATGGAGAAGGTGCGAGACCCAGGCACCGCTGGGTACCCCATCTAGTACATATTTAAACATGTATAAAATGTCATCGCAGCAAGTGAGGAAGCAGAGGGATTGACTGGGTCGCTGGGAGCTCTGCCGCAGGTTAGCAGACACATCTGAGGTTATCCTTCACCTTCATCTTGGGTCTCTATTTAGAGTATACAGTTTAGCTATGGGCGCCGTACTATAGAATGGACATAACCAGAAAAGATACTTCATACAATGAGATACTTCCATGTCGAATCCCTCTCCTTTCTGCGCGTGTCCTCCAAAGTGAATCATCACTTTGGAGGATGGAACGAGGGGGAATGGAAACGAATTAGAACATGGGACCTGGAAACTAGAAATAGACCGATCGAACTTGAAACTGGAAGCAGAATACTGGAAGAGGGAATTAGAACGAAATGACTGGAAATTATAAATACAATGAGAGGACTATAGAAACTGGATGTAGACTAAGTAAACTGAAAACTGAAAGTAGAACGAGGTAATTGGAAATAGAAAGATAGGACTGGAAATAGAATGATGGACTGTAATTTGAAAGTTGAACTACGAGACTGGAAGTGGAGTGAAGGCACTGGGAGGGATCTCTTGGACTGAAAACACAAATGAATTATGGAGAAGTCAGGAAGAGCTTTTGATCGTAGGCGTTACAAACACGTTGGACCACCAGCCAGAAGAAAAGTCAAAGACGAGACATGTTTGGTAATCAGTTCCAGAAGCAACTCCAGTCACTTGTTAGAAGTAAATCATTGCACTAACCAAAAAGCCGGAAAGGCGAGGCATAAGACCCTGCAAATATATCTAGGGCAGTGTATTTAGGTCAATAACTACATAGTATAATGAAAATAATAATATTGTTAATTGTGAACCATATTGGAGGTAAATGTGGAGAGTCACGCGACGCCTCAAACGCTAATGGGTGTTAAACACTCTGAAACTCTCCACTCAGAGATCGATGATGGATCACTCGCCACTAATTTATAATTATTGTCCCGGGACAAAATACAAGGCTACATAAATCTAAGGACCACTTGAAGGCTCTAGCACACAGTTGGCTCCTGTCTCATCTTGTTCCTTATATGATAGTTACTTAACATTAAAGTTAGTTTATTCCTAATAGATAAACAAGCTCATAATGTTTCCAGTTCTTGCTTGCAGAGTCACTATTATCATGGTGACATTACTAATGAGCCCTAAGCCTCAATTTAACTCAAAACTAAACTTGATCCACCTGAGCCAATGCCTCCCACTCTAATTCTCTAACACATAAGAAACGTGGCTGGCCTGTGTGTATTTTATGGTGTCCACTAAAGGTGTACCCTACACCTCCCTGCTCTACACCTCCCTGCTCTACACCTCCCTGCTCTACACCTCCCTGCTCTACACCTCCCTGCTCTACACCTCCCTCCTCCAGTAATGCCACAACAAACAAGAGCTGGGGCTTGTGATGACCAGGTACACGTTCCCTCTGCACGAACACAACAGGTTCAGAGCTCGTTCTGCCTTAACTACTCCAAACTACAGAAGTGGTTTTAGCAACAGGTTGGCAGCTAAGACATAGATTTTGTACAACAACATAAATATCTCACAAATGAATGGTTATTAGCACAAAATAGTATCCATTAAACTTGAAGCATAAAAAACATTGATGCAGAAAAAGTACAGCTATAGTTTTCAACTGTCAAGTAAAAAAAATGTAAAATAATAAA